AAAAAAAAAAAAAAAAAAAAAAAAAAAAAAAAAAAAAAAAAAACAAAAAACACAAAAAAAAAGGGGGAAAAAAAAAGGGGGCAGATTTTTAACCGCCTTTACCGGTCTTCCCCCAACTCGAGGCCATGTGGTGTCTGTGCAGAGTGTTCTAGCAGGAGACACACTGAGAGGTAAAGGGGGTATTATAAAGCTGGAAAATGGTTTTCTCACTCACAGTCTACCCAACAAGACAGGAATGCAGTGGAACTTCTGAACAATGGACAGCATTAGTATATTCTGCCATACTTACTATAGTGGATAAGTTCTTATACTTATAGTTTGCCTCATGTATAAAACTGCTATCGTGCGTTTAAAAAAATTTGGCCGGAGACTTTTGGCTCTGCCTTGAAAACCCTTGGCTTCAACATAGAGTAGCCTACCACACATTCAAATCCACATTAAATCCGTCAAACTCACTCGCTGTAGAGGAAGTTAAAAGCAGTAGAACCTCCGAATAAGGGACACCCTTGGCCATTTATTCAGTGGTGTGTGTGAGGTAGCTATGGGGCAGAACCAAGCGTCATTTCTAGAGAGGTGTCCTTCATTCGGAGGTCCTTCATTCGAGAGGTTCCCTTTTTCAGAGGTTTCACTGTATATTGCTGAACCATGCGTCGTTTTTAACTCATGGCGCTGCTTGAGCTTGCACATCATGGTGCCTTATGCACAAATGGCCAAACCCCTCTTGGTCCGGCCAAGAAAACGGACCTCTTGTGTCTAATCTTGGGTGGGTTTCAACCCCATACAGTCCCCCCCAGTGGTCTTATTAGGGAGCCAGGGACAGCCTCTATTAGTGGAAGCCGTGACAGCTCAGCTGGCAGGACTGCTAGTATTGTATTGATGTGTGTCGTAGGTCGTATCTGTATGTCTGGCTGGCGCCTTGCCAGGAGTGAGAAGCGCATCTTGGTATTAGCATATACTACAATAGTACAATATTTGTCGAGTGGCTGTGTACACCTCACACGTGTGGGAAGTTGTCTCCTTTCCTTCCTCCCCCACGTCCATCAAAACTGCCATCCATTTTGCCCCCCACCCCACCCCCCATATTGTTTGGCCCAACTCCCCATACTTTCATCAGCTCTAGAGTCATTTGTCTCTCCCCCCTCTCCCTCCCTCCCTCCCTTCTCTCTCCCTTCCTCTCTTTCTCTCCCCCCTCTCCCTTCCTCTATGTCTATTTCCTTTCCCTCTCCCTCCCTCCCTCTCTTCTCTCCCCTTCTGTCCCCCTTCTTTACCCTGAGTGATTGCCCCAAAAGTGATAGTCTCTACGCCAATTTTATCCACTGCCGTTTCTTCTTTCTCCTTTCTCTCCCCCTCTATCTTTACCCTCTCTTCCTCTCCCTCCCTCCCTTCCTCCTCTCCTCCCCACTTGTCCACACAGATCTTACATGCAGGTGAAGGCACTGCAGCGAGGGGCAGAAACCACCAATACTATCGCGGATCCGGAAGTCCCAAGTCTGACTCTCATTACAGAGGAGACGACCACGTTCCAAAACCGGTGGGTATGAAGAACGAGAACGTAAATATCTATCAAAACTTTCCTGAGGCCCATATTATTAGAACTAGAATACTGCCAATTAATTAATACGACACCGTTTTGTTGAGTGAAGACTGCTGTATGATAATATGAAGTTTGCACATGCACATTGTGGAAGAGCTTCGTTGCAAACCTGCACAATTCAAGCGACAAGATCGGATGACATGTCAAAATTTGAAGAATTTTCATCCTTGCACTTCTCGGGTTACATGTATCCACACCCCTTCCCTCCCTCTTCTCCCTGTCTCCTCCCTTTCTCGATCACATATCGATCTTTGTGGGTGTCCATTGTTTGGCACTGGCGGTACATTCTCGACATAAATGAGTACATACTTGTAGATGTGTAATTAGATAAGTGCATTGTTCTCCACTACATGTTTGATAGTGCAGCCAAGTCAGGCCTCACCTATAACAGAGCATGTGACGACTATGCTAAACATAAGTATAATACTTATTATACTTGATGATCTGTAATTTTAATTTTAAGAGGAGGGAGGGAGGGGAAGAGAGGTTTATACAAGAGACGATGTGGGGGTACATACATTATGTGCAACTGTAATGTGAGTTTGGCTAGCGATGACATCGGACATTACTTGGCAAGTGGCAAGCTTACATACGCCAATCGCCTCTTGTCGTCCAAATGTGTTCGACACAGATCGGGCCATAATGTGCGCGAAGCTGCTGTAGTTGTTGTAATGTGAGAATGTTGTGGCTGGCTGTCAAATGAGGAATGATCTGTTCAGCACATTGCACATTATTACGACCCGGTCCTTGTGTGGGGTATATACTAACTACATATAATACCTGAGTACATGACTATATAGGCAGCTTTTAATTGTTTGCAAATCTGGCGTCTGTATGTAGTGCTCGGAACAATGTATGTAAATTCCTTCCCACTGTTCCTTCGCTTGCTCTTCTTTACCAATCTCTCATTTCCTCTCCCTCTCCCCCTCTCCTCCCCCTCTCCTCCCCCTCTCCTCCCTCTCTCCTCCCCTTCTGGTTCCCTCCCCTCTCCTCCTCCTCCATTCGTCCAGGTATCTCTATCGGAGCTGAAGGAAGCGCTGCAGAACCTCCTACTGGAGCGCAGTGAGCGGGCCTCGCAGCTGGAAGACATGAAGAGAGTCACCGAGGCCGCCAAGAGAGAAAGAGTTTTGGCCATCGATGAAAAAGACAAACTATTGAGCAAGTGAGCTTCGAGGCATTTTTATGTACTAGGTCTACAGGTGAACCTCTTTTTAATTTGTGTACCATGGGGGAAAATTCTTCATTCTCAATATCGGACGTGCAGTGAGGGGGACACTCTTAATGCAATCCCTCTAAGAGATACGGGGTACTTAATACCTCTGATATACATCCGTGCTAAACCTGGCAGCAGAAAAACAGCATTTGTTCTTGATACAGGGTGATTTATTTGTGCTAAACCTGGCAGCAAAGGAACACCATTTGTTCTTGGTTTCAGGAAATAGAAATACTATTACTGCATTACAGTCTCTCATTCTAAAGTTACATTAACACATGTTGCTTCTTGTGGGGTGCCTATGTATGTACGTGTTAGCCTAGCAAGAGCCATTGGGTCAACGCCAAATTGGTTTATGAACTTTTGAACCAGAAAATCAAAAGGTATATTATATACCTGACATTGCATAGGCCGAGTGTGAATAACTAACAGACAGTAAAAGGAGTTGGTGCGACATATGATTGTAAACCCTGGTCAGACAGACAAGCAGATTGTGCATAGTTGTGCTTTTTGCCTTTTGTGCTGATCTCACTGTTGACACATGCACTCGCATTATGTAATACAACTCACCTAACTCTGAAAAAGACCTCCAATACAGGGCACCTCTCTAGATAGGACACTTGGTTCTGCCCCAATCCTGATACATATTATGTTACCTGCGAATTAGGGATACCTCTGAATAATGGACACTCCTTCCTTAGTATCACCTACTTAGTAAAACCCTTTCCCTTATGTATGTATATATGGATGTGTATGTATGTGTATGTACAGGTACCACCTGACAAAGGTAGCTCTAGAGAGGAAAGAGTCTGTCATGGCCGAACTGGAGGACGAGAGGGAGAAACTCATTGCCAAGGTAAACGTGGATCACGTGATCTCAGGTGACTGTCACGTGACCTGTTGCCACGCCCACCAGTGTCGGGAACAGGAGGACTCGGTGGCAGCTCTGAAACAGGTGAATGAGGAGGCGAGACAGACGAGGCTCATGGCCCTGGACGAGAGAACAAAAGTGAGTCCAACTTTATGAGTTTCCAGGGAGGAACGCTCACATTAACACAAAACTGTCACTACATGATTTAGGAAGCCTGGATATAGTCTTTAGCATGCATACTTTCCATGTACAGTTGTACAGAGAAGATCCACATTGAGACGACGAAGCAGTTCACTTGCCAATAACGATGAAAATTTCCCCCTGCCCTGTATTAATTTACGATAATGATAAAACATTTTACCCCATGCCCCTGTATTAATTTATGATAATGAGTTTTAAAAAATTCCCTGCCCCTGTATTAATTTACGATAATGATAAAACATTTTACCCCTCTGCCCCTGTATTAATTTACGATAATGAAAAAATTTCCCCTCTGCCCCTGTATCAACTACGATGATGGAAGGTGATAGAGGAGAGAAACCAGCTGCAACTGGAGCTCAGCGAACTGCAGAGTGAGAGAGACAAACTCTTCGAGGAAAAGGTATTATTAAGTCTATTACAGTAGCCATGTGTACAACTGGAGAGTTTGGCAACACTCTTTGGCAGTTGTGTTTGAAATTTTTGTCTCTATAATTATACTGCCACTGCAACTTTAAGGTATTGCAGAGCATATTTCATGACCGCCAATGTTTCTGAGATTTCAGCACATTTCATATCTCTTGTCCCAATCGTTGTCTCCCCTCCCTCACCAGGTGCAGCTGAAAGGCTCTCTGCAGGAGCTGTTCTCAGAGAGACGACAGCTCCAACAGGACATGGAGAACACCCGAACCAAGTGTCTCAGATTCGAGACACTTGCCAAGCAATTCAAAGAGCAAAACGAAGTCCTCTGCGAGAGGGTGAGCACTATTTAGAGTAGGATTCAAGCTGGGAAAGTGCCTCAGTATATATACATATATACATACTGCCAATAATGTTTGCTTCAGTTCGTTTGCTTGGAATGGCCTATACAGTTGAACCCTACTGTATAAGTGCACGAAGACCATGAAATTGGAGTGTCTTTTATTCAGCGGGTCTCTGCCCTTTAATTCGGGGTGTCCATTTAAGACTATAATAATGTAATGGAAATGAGTGCCATTAGAGTTAAAATTTCAAGAAAGAAAACTTTTACGATATGCAGGTAAGAGTAAACTTCACGGTACCATTATACAATGGTGTCACATACCGTACTCTACATTCAACATTCACAAACCACGAAATTTGCAGTTTTCTCCCTCTGCCCTTTCCCACGTGTACCGTGTGAGCCTGGAGTACACCCGTTGCTAAGTGGCCAGTACACCCGTTGCTAAGTGGCCCCGAGCAGTGTACATGGTAATAGTGTGTGGGGGGAGCGCCGTGCGTGCTTATAATACTACTACTTACTGCACATGCCGTCAACAACAGAATATAATACAGCCAATAATGTGTGTGGACCTCTTGAGAGGTCTCACAGGAAGAATGGCCCTCGGAAGTGTAGTTGGTTGGCATTGATATGTTGGGTATGTACATATATAGATGGGATGATTTGAAGAATTGGTCGAACAGGCCAGGGAGAAGAGAGAAGAACCTACTTTTTGGCATAATAGGTGGATGATTTGAAGAATTGGTCCAACAGGCCAGGGCCTACCTTTTGACATAATAGATGGATGATTTGAAGAATTGGTCCAACAGGCCAAGGAGAAGAGAGAAGAACCTACTTTTGTCGTTAGTCAAACTCTGGCATCGTGACTGAATGTCTAGTGCACTATGTACACTCGGCAAACAAAAGCTGGTCTTTCCCTAAGTAGCTACACTGCAAGTGGCCGTTTCGCGTTTGGTCTTGAATTATGTGAATTAACCCTTGGTTTGCATGCACAGTGAGGGTTTTAAAGCGTGTCCGTGTGTGTGTGTGTGTTGGTACGTAAGTCAGTAAGAACTTTTACTTAACTAAACAATAGGGCACAGTGCAAAACTGTTCCGCTTTTTGTAGTAACCGTTTCTAAATTTAGCCCTTATGTAATACTCTCACTATGTGTTCTACAGGATATGGAGAGTCATATGGTGACGATGGAGCGGGGGAGCCAGGCACAGCCCTGGGGGTTCAGCATCGAGGGAGGGCAGGGCTCCGAGTACTTCTCCAAAGACAGCTCAATCGTGGTGACTGGAATTGCCAACGGCAGCCCGCTGACGGAATGCTCAGGTAATATACGTCACTGCTTGTGTACAAAGGTCACAACAGAACAGAAAGAACAATTATTGGTGGTTTAGTAAGTACAGGGCCAGGGGCTCTGCTATAGTTTAACTCCCTAGTCTAGCATTCTTGACGGAAGTCTCGTAAAATGAACGTCGTTTGTTCCAGGTTTGGCGATCGTCTTCTGTCGGTAAACGGACAAGATTTTCGCTGCATCTCTCGCAAGAAGGCAGCCGAGGTTCTCAGGTCATGTGACCAACTCTCCGTCACCATGGAGATCTCCAGGATTGTCTCGAAACTAAAACCAAGAGCCGTGGTACGCTGCCACACACACAGTCATTTCCTTACCACTCTCTGTATGGGTGTAGGCACACGTGCCAATATTTGACCTATTTTCTTACTTCAGGCCAAAATACTCACCATACGGTATATGCCATATCACTCTACAGTTGAATCTCTCTCTAAGAAGACACTATAAGTTAGGCCACCTCTCTACTAAGGACACCTGATCTTGCATGCCCCAATGGTGTCTGGATATAAGAGGGGTTCTAATTATTGCTCTCCATACCCCACAATGCTATTCTGCAGGAGGTCCACATTAGGGGGAAGAAGACATTCGGATTTCAGTACGAGACAAAGTTGTTTGTGTCGGCCGTCGAAGAGGGAAGTGCAGCTGCAGAGTACCTGTTGCCTGGAGACGAAATAGTCCAGGTTAGCAGCGATGCCATTATGATGTCATCCGTCTTAACTACACTATCATACTGAAAATGCACTTTTTTTGTATTGTATGGTGTGCAGGTGTTGGGGAAGCCGGCCGTCAATTTAAAGCTGTCCCACTTCAAGCAGATCATCAAGTCGTGTCGTGGCGGCATCTCCATGGTAATCCACCGTATGCCTGGCAACCGTCGCCCCCAGCAACGACGTGGCAGTGCGAGTGGCTCAGGCCCCTCCCTCGCCCAATCTACCCTCACCCTACGAGGCATCAGGGAGGGAGGTGGGGGCTCCATGTCTGATTTCGCCCACTACCCCTCATCCCTCCAAACTCCAGGGACACCAGGTTCTAATCTATCAGAGACGACTGGTTATTACTCCACACAGTCCACCTCCCTCCCCAGCGTATGCTCGGCCGCAATCTCCCCGAGCACCCTCGAAATCAAAGCAGGTATGACCGGTATCCCGACAAGTTTCGGCCGTCGCACCTCCCCCTCGCTCAATTTGAAGTCGGTTCCTTCGCAGACTTCGACCTCGCAGCACAGCGGGTACGAGACCGACCAGGCTAGCTTCGACGTCCACCATTTGCACTTCCGAGACAGCTCCGTGAGTAGCTCCACAGCCAATACTAACCCATACTCTTCGTCATCCCTCTCCTCACGTGCACTCGGGGACATCTCCAATCCCTACACCCGACCCCTCTATTTCACGGGGGGAATCGGCGGGGTCAACGGAAATTCCAGTCGAACCCGTATGTCCAGTCAGTCTAGTTACGGCGGAAGCAGCCAGTTGAGTAGCAGCATCCTGAGTCCAAAATCAGATGCAACGGCTAGTTCGTCTTCGCGGTTTGGATACACCTCGAGAAACAACCACCACCAGCTTCCTTCTCCTTCCCCCTTTTCCGTTTCCGTCCCACGCAACAGTTTCAGCGTCGACCGCTTGGAGAGTAGTCGGCCGCCGCACCCGCGCATGTCAGGTGACAGTCACGTGACTTCTTCCTCGTCCATGTTAGCCGGAGGCTCCCACTCTATGAGCACTAGTAACATGTACCGGAACGAGATGAGCAAGCGAACAAACGTCTAAATCCGACAGAAGGAGTCTCATTCTATTGTGTGTGTATGTCTATGGTGTACGTACGTACGGCATATGTGAAAGTGAAAATCAACCACTCACTGCAGGCAAATACTTATCATGATCTTCTTTCATTCGCACAATTGCTTTGGCCTTTGTTTAATGTGTCTCCATACATGTTGCTATAGCTGTATGTTTTAGTTCCTGATTAAATTCTCCCTATCATTGCTTTGTGTTATTTTGACTCCGCCCTACTCTAATACAGGGTCAGAATACGTAATTAACAATCTGCAGCTATGCTGAAAATGTGATGGAATTCTCGTACAATGAATGTCGATTTACCACGATTATACTTCTGGATGGCTATCTAGAAAAAGAATTAATTTTGTAGCATTATTATTGCTCGCTGGTTACAATACCAAGTAAAAAGCGCACTTATAAGGCATCTCCAAGGTGTGCTTTATATAGAGATTTCACTGTACATCACTGAGATAATGTGCTCCTATAGAACCATTCTTGCAATGCATGTATGACTGTACTTAATATACACGTGCCAAGTGACCTAATGTTTATTGCACAATATGATTGTACAGCAGGCTGCAACAGGCTGTGGTACATGATGATAAATCTCTCTAATACAAGACCAGTGGAACAGTGCAGTCAAGAGTGGTGACGACAACACAGCAATATGTGTAGCTAGCATCAGATCCGATTCTTAATGACAGAGAGACACTGGGCAAAGTTCTCGAGACCAAACAGCGTGTTGTTGTCCGTCTCCCCTTCGCTCCCCGGCGCGGCCTCGTAGGTATGTGCGAAATCGACCAATCGGATGTCGACGGGCGGTGCCGGCTCGTCCGAATGGGCGGGGTCTCCCTCGTAGACGATGAGGAGGGAGGTGGCAAAGAGACGAAGGGAGGTCTGCGTACGAAACCATCCCAGGAACGTCTGTAGTTTACCGAGGACAGCTGGGATTATGTCAACTCTGTTCACCTCGCCACATATAAAGAAGTTTGTCACGGCTGTTTGGGAAACATTACATCATAATTACATACGTCATATAGTATAAATGATGTGATCATTACATCATCAAATGCTGTCGTTATGATGTCATAAAAAAGTAAGAGCGACATATATAAGTATATACCTTGAAGAACTGTATTTTCTCTAATGCTTCGTCCATACCACTTGTCGTAGTATACATAATCATCAGTAGAAGGTTGGTACACCTGCCAAAATTGTATTATGATTGTAACAAGGCAGTGGGCTTCTCAAACAGTGCAAAATTAGTTCTCATGAGCACACCACTCAAAACTACATGCAGGTGCATGTGAAAATATACGAGGTAGAAAGGCAAAGGCACAACAAACAAATCAACTACACCCAGGACAGCTCTTCTTTTTTTTTTCTTTCTTCATGCACGCTAGAGAACATAATCGCAAACGAATCTCACACGGAATGGAAATTTAACCCAATGAACCTGCTTGCTCTAATCAAAATGCCAGTTTTGGTTCATACGATCCAGCATGTTGCTATGTGTAGGAAAGATCACGTTGGTTTACCCTCATTCCAATGATCCTAGTGTATGCGTAGGAAAGATCCCAATAATCACGTTGGTTTACCCTCATTCCGATGATCCTGTAGCCAAGAGTCTCCTGTGCCGGGTACTTCTTCTTCTCCCTGTCTATCTTGTCCTTCTCTGCAAAGTCATCCCAAACCCTACGTCCCACCTGTGTTGAGTATAGTGATGGTGTCTCTTGAACGTGATATCCACGGCACTATGTGGACGATACGCTCTATAGAGTGTGCTGCCAATCTAAGCTCTTGCCCCACCCCACCAGTGTATAAGATAATGCCGGGCAATACTCTTGTGTTGCATTTTGTAAGGACTGCATACATAGTATATGCTAAGCTGTCCTCCTAGCTCAGTGGGTATGCATTCTGCTTTTAGAATGAGGATCGAGTGTTGTGGGTTCGAATCTCATCCGGGACAGCTCTGAGTTGTCCTATATCGGTGTAGTAACGATGCTTGCCTTGTGTTTGCCTTACAACCTCATTTGTAGAGGGCATTCAACCTCATCCAGAAGTTAAAAAATAGCTGCGACTCAAACACAACACACTGACACTGCTCTCGAGGCAGAGGGGATCTTCTCACTCAGTATACACATATATGCGTCGACGATTATGTCAATACTGACCTTGACATCCAGGATGCAAGGCTTTTTGTATCTGTGAGTTATGTCTTCCAGTTTCAAGAACTCGTCTGATTGGTCGTCGTCAAGGCAACAACAACCAATCAATATCTAAGACACACTATACGTATGATAAAGCCCTGGCCTCCATACGAACAGAAGGCTAATAATGTTGTTGTTTCAAACAGTTGCTGAAGGTGGAAGTGGAGGAGAGAGGGCCTGTGGATGAGACTAATCAAGGCTACAGATTTCAATAGCCAACAACTAGTGTACACATTCATAGAGTTGATGAAGTCTCATTGCCTATTGACCCCTAGCCCTGTTCCATTATAGCGTAATGGGTATTGAACTACCAAAAACACTTGCTCCTTCTGTTCTTTTGTGAAAAGAATGAAGAAAGAACCACTTGTTTGGAGATTCACCATCAATAGGGTAATCTCAGTGTCTAAGCGCTGGCACGGAAAGCTTTCTTCGACCATTTTGCATGTCAGCATTCACTCAGACTTCCTAGTGCGATGGAGCGTTGATGAAGTCTCATTTTCTATTGTTAGTCTAACCCCTAGCCCTGTTCCATTATAGCGTATGTGTATTGAACTACCAATAACACTTGTTCTTCTTCTGTTCTTTCGTGACTTTTGTTTAGTACATGTGCGCAGTTTTGCGCTAAAGGTTTGTAAAATGGCACTCGAATGAGTAGAATGGGCAGTAGAATGGCATAATGGCATGGAATAAATAGCTGCCTTCTTTGCTAGCTCGATTCAGGCAACAGAAAACTTAGGTTGCCTCATTACGATTCGTGCCTTCAACATGGGAGCATTGAAAACGAAAGAGAAGGCAGGTGCACGTGAAACAAAAAACAGCACTTTGAATCTCACGCAATTCCTTCATACGAACACAAAGCAACAACATGAAAGTGAGGTGTCTTGGGTCTCAAACCAACATGACACCTCGCACGGCACAACTTTGCAGCTCATTCAGCAGTTTTTCATAAAATGACTGTCAATCAGGTGCGTGTACAAAGATGCAGGGCAATAAGAATGGCTCAGATCACAAAATTACACAACATGCTTGTGTATTAGGGAGTTGTCTGCATTTCAGGGGTGTTCCTACATGTAAGTAGAGAGTATAGCATCAACTAATACATTCAGTGCTATAAACTAATACACAGCACTGGGCAGGATACGAAGGTTCCCTGCTCTGTCCCTGATCGTCTCCTTGTGGTAGTACCCGGGCACCAGCTGCCTCAAGGCCACGACCTCTCCCGGCAAGTCCTCCTCCCCAAACAGAGTCTCGTAGAACTGGACCTCAATAGTTCCCTTGATGCCTGGCTGGACTGGCTTGTACAGTATGTCCTCCTGCCCCTTCCTTCTTAGAAACCCTGTCACAGAAGGAGAAGAAGAAGGAGGAGGAGGAGGAGGAGGAGCAAGAGGATGAATACAGAATGTGTCAGTATGCTCCGTCACTATTTCACATATAAACCAGCTGGCGACCCCATAGTGGTATATAGTATATACACAAGGGCTAAAGTTAGCAATGATACTAAAGAGAGAACTAGTACACAATGGGGCACAGTGCAAGAATACGATTAAGTTTCATTTTCAGTAACGTTTAGCCCTTATATATACTGTCTTAAGGTTACACACACTTGGACAGAATGTCAGGGGATGATATAAGAGCTTCCAAAATTCATGTAACACACACTAATACTCGTGACTCAGTTTATACCTGACTTGGACAGAATGTCAGGGGATGATATAAGAGCTTCCAAAATTCATGTAACACACACTAATACTCGTGACTCAGTTTATACCTGACTTGGACAGAATGTCAGGGGATGATATAAGAGCTTCCAAAATTCATGTAACACACACTAATACTGTCTTAAGGTTACACACACTTGGACAGAATGTCAGGGGATGGTATAAGAGCTTCCAAAATTCATGTAACACACACTAATACTCGTGACTCAGTTTATACCTGACTTGGACAGAATGTCAGGGGATGGAATAAGAGCTTCCAAAATGCATGTAACACACACTAATACTCGTGACTCAGTTTATACCTGACTTGGACTTTGCGTGCAAATAAACGCGGAGGTGTTTAAAAATGCCGATCATCACACAATGACAGACAATTGCAAAACACCAACAAGACGCAATAAGTATAAGATTCAACACTCACGCAACGAAAACACACAAACACACGCGTTTGCTGACTCACACGTCACACATTAGGGATTTGTATCTCTCGTACCTAGTTTTCCGTCGACATGGCGATGACCTCCGACCTGATGAGGGAGAGGTATGTAGCCCTCGGGAACCAGCCGCAGCAGTTCGAGAGCCTCCAGTGTCAGATTGCCTCTATCCACCTTCACAGAGAACCACACACACATAACTGCATGTCTCAACAACTTGGTAACGAGGTAGAGAGGCAAGGCAAACAAGTCACCTACACCCAGGACAGCTCTTTCTTTTCAAAGAAAAGAAGAACAGCTGCCCCAGGTAGGATTCGCACCCACGGCACTCTGCAGTCTAGGCGAGTGCTCTACCAACTGAGCTACCAGGGCAACTCAGCTGGTAGGGGTTTGAATCTTGACTTGCGAAATACTTACTGTCTACCAGGAGTTGAGTCCATTCGTGCTAGAATGTATGTGGAATTTACGCTGAGAAGAATGCAATTTTCAGTGATTATAGGAATTACACGTAAAATTATTACTGTTATGGTGACAGCACCAATAGATAGCAATTTGGAGGACTAGGTTATTGGCCACTTTCATAGCACTTCTATAGGGGTGGTTATCTAGGTCTTTCATTTGGGGTGAATCTTGCAGGAGAATGGACAGCCCTTTTCAGGTATACTAACAATAGCTGAAGCCTCAGGTGTTAGAAAATTACCAACCAGCTGTATTCTGTATACTGTAGCAGTAAACTATAATCTTATGTGTATGTCAGTAGCACAAAATTACTAATCAGTTTGTGGTCAAATATTGGGACAGTTTCTCTCCTACTAATGCACTATTCACATCTGTACTGCTGCCACAGTGGCTGTTTGGCAGGCAGCCAACTACCACTGCCTATGTACCCCCTAACCCCAGTCTTTTTACTAACACACACCCTATCTATTACTCCCAGTTATCCAGACCAGGGTACTACTAGGTATATATATACTACACAGAGGAACCTCTCTAATCCAGACACCAATGGGACGGAATAAAGTGTCAAGTGAGATTTTCATGGGTTAAAAATTGCTTGCAAAGACAAGGTGTCCTTATCAGAGAGGTGGCTGTATGGTTAGACCAGTTTGCAGAGTGTTTCACCCTCAACAAAGGCGCTGGTAAATATTCATAGTGTCAAGGTTGAGGGTAATTAAAGATGAGTTTGTATTGCCCACCATACCTGCACATGCAGCTGGCTTTGTCCAGCACAAAAATGTCACATATCCCAAATATCTCCCTAGCCATTACAATACATTTCAGCATGCCACGTGTCAATAGCCAACAAGTGCAAATAAACAAAGGATCAGTCCAGAGACATAATATATACAGTGGGACCTTTTATAATGTACACCCTGAATAAAAACACATTAAGACTATTATTTTTGAGTAATACATATCCTCCGAACAAAAGACACCTCTCGGACAATAATACATGTTCCCAGCATGTCCTTTATTCGGTGGTTTCATTGTACACACGAATGATGTAACAGTTACGGTAACACAGAGAGCTACGCATGTATCGTACACATGATCTATTTGGTGGTAAAACAGTAGTGTTGTAGCTGTACATCAGGCAATGTATATATAGCCGTTGGTAACACCTGTCTGCGATAGCCAAGCTGTTGTTAATGGATCGAAACATCCATGTAGCCAACAGGAATGGGCGTGTATGTGTACGTACATACTAATGCACCCGCAGCGGCTTACACTATTACATTCACATGCCCACTAATCAAACAATGGCACGGGCGCGAAGAGCCAAAAACCAGACCTATTGTGATCTGACACAGCAATGTCACAATTAGGAATGTGAACAAGCAGCAATTAGGAACAAGCATCACCACACCGCAGATAAAAACACTGACACTTCTGAATAGGACACTTGGTTCTGTATTTTATACGAATAAATGACACTTTCAATGTTCCCCTTATTCAGAGGTTTCACCGCACTTAGCCAGCAATGAAACTGGGTTTTTTTTGATGCGTAAATATTGTCAAGTTCAACTGCTACCCACGGTGTGTACATCTGCGTTTCAAGTACATACATGGAATCAACCTTCAATTGCGGATTGGCAGGCAATGTATACAGGGAAAAGGTCTAAAATAACGTGTATGTACCCTGATCAACACACGCTGGCACGGCCCTGGGCATATGGTTCGCCTTTGGCTTTTGATACACACGCAGACGCATTGAACTGGACAACAGCCACTTATGGGGAGAATTGAAGTTGGAGGGATATACAATATTAGAGGAATTGGAGATGTTCCACGGTGACCAACTAGTAGTAATAACTGGCAATAATAACCAAAGGGGGGATGAGGAGGGAAGGGTGCAAAAGTGAGGAGTTGTGATCCCATTGCACTAATAGCTAAATGCAACAAGATCCCTACCTTATCGTCCAGACATTTGATTGCCATTTCAACCAATTGATCTGGGGAGCCTGGATTGCTTGCATGGCTTCCTCCCTTCTCCGCTGTCACTCCATTCGCGAGGGGGAGGTCGGGCTTTCCTTCTGCAGAGTCGGGGTGCGCCGCGGAGCCGTTGGCGAGTCTAGCCGCCTTGCTGATGAGGTCCGAATCCAGCCCAACGTTCAGTAGGTGATGCTGCACGAGGCGACCAACTTCTCGGCGGTTGGCGTCTCCGTCTCCCGCATCTGGCTCGCCCATCAGGACTCTGACGCCGCGCCCTCTCCGCCCCTCTTTGTCCTCATGCTCGGGCTGTTGCAACCCCGCCACTAGCCTAATCTCCTTCGCACCGCTCGTCAGGCGCCCCACGTCTCGTGCCGTTTCTGACGCGATTCCGTCATCGCCGTAACCGAGTACGGCCTCGCCCATTCCACCCGCACTGACGAGAGCCATGGCTCCCCTTCCTTCGATGCTACGCGAAAACTGGAGGCCGGTACAACGTGCTTGGTCCCACCCTCTTTCTCTCTAAATATGCGAAATAATTTTGAACACGCTACGCGTCGAAGATTGCGTGCGCCTGTCTGACGTCCGTCCCGTTTCTGGTTGACTTACAGGCAGGTTGTGGGCTAGTAGGAGGCAGTCATGAGGGGAGAGGTGAGCGTGGTACAAGGCGAGGTTTCCCAGCTCCTCTCGGCCATGAGAAAGACTGGGAGATGGAGTGGACACGCCAGAACAGTAAGCCCTACACCGTACACAGTGCTAAACACGTGTACCAAAAGGGTTAATTTGGCTTCTGTGGAGCCCTATCTAACGTACTGGCATGGTATGATGATCCTGGTGCGGTGTTGTTCCGATCCAGGAAGGGGAACAAGACCCATTAGTACGAGGTCTACACAAACTCCAGACGGTACTGAACGGGACCCCTGACCTTCGGACCCTGGACGTGATGGTGTTCCTCCACCCGTTCTGTGAGATTATCCAATCAGACGACACCACGGGTCCCGTCACTGGGATGGCTATCTCATCGCTTGACAGATTTCTAGCATACGGCCTCATAAGTAAGTCAACTCCTGGACACCTCTTCATAAACTGGTGATAATACTTGAGTGCATTATTAATCTTGACCCCTTATAACTATAGTGGAACTTTTAACTGTAATACCAGTAGAAACCTTCAGACAAGAACTCTCTAGATTATTACATTGTCTTACTGCCTGATTACATTCTCTCCACTCTTATTTACACTTAGTTCAGCCCTTAACCTCTTTGACTCTGCGAATAAAGGACACCTCTCTATATAGAACACTTGTTTCAATCCAGAGCTAGTACTGCTGTAGTGTATTAACCTCGCAATAAAGAACACTTGTTTCAATCCAGAGCTAGTACTGCTGTAGTGTATTAACCTCGCAATAAAGAACACTTGTTTCAATCCCGAGCTAGTACTGCTGTAGTGTATTTTTAACCTCTCAATAAAGAACACTTGTTTCGATCCCGAGCTAGTACTGCTGTAGTGTATTTTTAACCTCGCAATAAAGAACACTTGTTTCGATCCAGAGCTAGTACTGCTGTAGTGTATTTTTAACCTCTCAATAAAGAACACTTGTTTCAATCCCGAGCTAGTACTGCTGTAGTGTATTAACCTCTCAATAAAGAACACTTGTTTCGATCCAGAGCTAGTACTGCTGTAGTGTATTAACCTCGCAATAAAGAACACTTGTTTCGATCCAGAGCTAGTACTGCTGTAGTGTATTTTTAAACCTCGCAATAAGACACTTGTTTCGATCCCGAGCTAGTACTGCTGTAGTGTATTAACCTCGCAATAAAGAACACTTGTTTCGATCCAGAGCTAGTACTGCTGTAGTGTATTTTTAACCTCGCAATAAAGAAACCGCTGTATAAAGGACTACTCTTATGGCCCCAGCATGTCCTCTATACAGAGTTCCAAATGTAGAGGAAAACGCTCACTAAATTTAGTCCATCTATACCATAAAAGTTCCTCTAAGAAGGTTCTACTCCATAGTTTCCTGTGTGTCGTGCAGGTCCAGGTCACCCCTCGGCAGCCGGTGGAGTGGCAGCTCTCTCAGAGTCCGTCACTCACGCCAGATTCGTCGGAACCAATCCAGCCAGCGATGAGGTCGTCCTCATGAAGATACTACAGGTCGGTAAATTTTCAGCTTATTTACGAAACGAACGAGGAGGGAGGAGAGTAAACTGCATTTGGGGGAGTATATACTGGAGTGTCAAACGTGAAAAGTGGAGTAGAAGACCCCATTAGGTTGGAGGCATCTTTTTTCGTTGTCTTTTGGCCATGAACTCTCTTTCACATTGGCATCTGACAAACACAAACGTGAGGATATGTATGCCCTCTAGAAAGACTTCATGTGTTATGGAATACCCAGTTTATCAATGATGTTTTAATACAAAATGTGTCCAGTTAGCTAGTTGTCCTCGTGAAGTGTTGGAAATTATCCTTCTCTCATAAAAAAAGAAATTTATTAAATAAAGGTGCATAGAAATATTTTTTTGGTCCCAGGTGTTGCACACACTGATGCTGACGCCAGTGGGGAGACTCCTGAGCAATGAGAGTGTCTGTGAAATAATGCAGTCCTGCTTCAGAATTTGCTTCGAAACGAGGCTCAGCGGTTAGCCAAAGATCACCATGCAATAACAAACACCTTTTCAGCAGAATTTCGTGAATGCTAGTCTGGCATGCCATTCACCGAATCTTCATTCGCAAGACTTTTGAGAAAGAGTCGTATATTGCAAAAATATTTAGATTACGGTTTGCTAACCCCTATTATTACGTATTATTCTCCATAATGTTGTGTTTCAGAGCTGTTAAGAAACTATGCCGAGTCAACTCTAGTGGACATGGTCCAACTCCTGTTTATTCAGTTGCCGTCCTTCAACGAGGATGAGTATACCGTTGATGACACTGCTTCTATCATTGATCAGGTGGGTGATCTGTTACGTGGCTATAGCTATAACGTGAAAAATGAAAACGAAATGAAGTATAATTGTATGCGCCATGGTACTATAATTAAACCAAAGCACGTAGAATGATGGAATTCAGGTTAGACTTGGTTGAAGCACATAGAATGATGGAATATAGTTGGTTGAAGCACATGGAATGAACATAGGATGATGGAATTTAGTTGGTTGAATGAACATAGGATGATGGAATTTAGTTGGTTGAATGAACATAGGATGATGGAATTTAGTTGGTTGAATGAACATAGGATGATGGAATTTAGTTGGTTGAAGCACATGGGATGAACACAGAATGATGGAATTTAGGTTGGTTGACTTTTATCCGCTAGACCATCACAGCAGGAGGAGAGGAGGAGAGGGGGTCAGTTGAACCGTGTGTGGAGGATGACGTGGAGGAGGAGGGAGGAGAGGGGGAGGAAGAGGGAGGGGGAAGGGAAACAACTGATAGCAATGGAGGAGACGAACACGATGAGTTGAAACAGCAAGAGGAAGGACTGGAAGAGGGGGAGGCGGGTCTGAAGCGAACTGCACACGAGGCGGAGTTTGTGTCCAGTGATGTCATAACTGCAACAAGTCGACATCGGCAAGGAACACTGGCACCGTATGGACTGCCGTGTGTCCGCGAGCTACTGAGGTTTCTGGTTTCCATCATCAACGTGAAAGAAAGGTGTGGTCTTCTAGCTCTCGGCCAAAGAGTCTACTCGTTTTTTTGGGAAAATGCCTTAAGTAAAGGCCTTTTGTAATGGCCCCTCTTTAGTATTGCCATTCATAGAGGATTCGAACATGAACCCAATAATGAGTAAATGCCAACACAGTAGCCTAGAGCATCATTCAGTGATGAATGAGTGCCTGTATATCTTTTGGTACACTTACCGAAGGTATAAATAATGAGGTGGTGCTATAAAAAGGGGATGCTTGTGAAATTGTCCATCCACCAAAGGAACAACTCCGAGTCACTGCTGCACATCGGACTGAATCTGGTGACGGTAGTCCTGGAGTCGGGCAGAGAGGACCTCTGTCGGTTCCCTTCTCTGGCACAACTGGTCCAGGACAACCTCAGTAGAAGTCTCTTCACTGTGAGCCAAATGTTACAAGTCACTCTATAATTATACATAGTTGCAGAAGGGATGAGAGCACAATAGTGCAAGCTTTCTCACATAAGTTGGCTCTGAATACTAATGGTATCTAGATAACATGAAAAGTGTGCACCAACCCCTCTCAGGGCCAACAGTATTCTCAAAGCCCCTTCGTGATGTAGTACTACACGTGTACCTTGGCATTAAAGTCATATTATAGAATTGGATGAACATCCATACTTGGTTGATGTTGCAAACACCATGTATAAAGTATACTGGCAACTAGAATGTGGTGTAGACATCTACCAATATGGAAGCTTGAGCCAACGTATATGTACAATACTGTGGTTAGTAACAATAGTTGTGATGCGGAGCATTTGGCGTGTGTATACAGCTCCATGTTTCTACTCTGATACCCACTGTGTAGCTTCTTCGTCACTCCAACTTCTCTGTGTTCTCGGCGACACTGCGAGCCGTCTGTCTCCTGCTCCAACACTGCAGAGTCCACCTGCGGTTCCAGGTGGAGTGGGGTCTCGCCACACTCATGGAGCTCTTCACTGCCGAGAACACCGCCAGACTCTCCCACGAGAAGAAAGACGCTGTGCTGGAAACAATTCTGAGGGTGAATTATGTAGGCAGACTTTAAAATGGCTTGATTGTTAGCTTTGTATAGCGTTCATGCTTCAGAAACTTGTAGATCAGACACATAATGTTGCTGTCCCAAAATTTGTTGCTGTAGCATGGCTAGGTATCTTTGGCTATGCGTGCTTCAGATGGTAGTAGTTCAGTGATTGTTGTAGCATAAAAGCACATTACCACTTAGTGAATCAATCATGCTCATAGCACCGTTGCAAAGGTTCACTTGTGTACTTCATGTCGTCTGCAGCTGTGTCACTACCCATATCTCATGGCTGAGCTCTATGTCAACTATGACTGCAGTCTCTACTGCTCCAATGTCTTTGAAAATCTCACAAAGCTCCTTTCAAAGGTAGTTTAAATTAGCATTTAATTATGCTGGCCTTTGCTTCCATGAATGTATAGTGTATCGATATGCCAGGTTTTTAAGTGTGTTTTAGCTACCGACTAGTACCATTCAGTATTGCTTGTGGCTTGAGCTAATGAATTCTGAAAGGTTGTGGCTGTGTGTTGGTAACGATGAGTAATAATGATGCTCTCTACTTCCTGTCATTCAGAGCTCTCTGCCAACACAAGGGCTGTCTTCAAACCATCTCCTCTCACTCGACGCTCTCCTAGCCATCATCAAAAGTTTCCAATCCTGCCAACAACAAGCCCTCCCAGACAACGCCCTTGCAGTCAACTCCCAACTCTCGGAAACAGAGGGAGAGAATGCTCCAAGTGGAGCCTTGGCCACATCTCAGGAAGGCTCGACCCAGATTAACTCTGCGGGGATCATTTTCAGTTCTAGACCGGAGAGAGAGACGGTGCTTGTCGAGGAGATGTCTATTACTAGTGTTCGCTCCGATTCTGCACTTGCCGACCACGTCACTGAGACTGCAGTTGAAATAGCTGGGCAGAGTTGCCCTGCCTCTGGTATGGATACTGTGAAGGCTGCCTCAGGGTATATGATGGCAATAAGAGGTACCCGTGAAGGGGATTTCCCCCCTGAGACGACAGTGGTGGAACTGGCAACACCGAAAGAGTTGATAGAGATACGACAGAGGAAAAAGGTGGGAATGGTGCTGTGTGCCAACTCTTTTTTCGTGTTGGCTCTGAGAGTGTTGTTGGGATGCTGTTGTGTTTGTTGTTACTCAGTCTTCTGTGGTTATTCTGCAAGGATTCTTGTCTAGCTTCACCTGCATTCCACCATACATCCGACTGTCTTTAGCTAATTACGTATTAACACATTGTCAGTGATTCACTGGCCTCCTACAATCAGCTGACAAGATAGAACAATATAGTATGAATCGTAGGGTGTCAATGCAAGGTAGGTTCTATTGTGCAATACAACACAAGGAAGAGGCAAACCCCCAAATACTCTGTGCTATATGTGGCACAGATCACTAATAGAGCACATCAGAAACGCACATCACTAATTTGACTGCATTAGCTCGTAATTTGACGTCACGTAAAAAAACTAATGGTCCATGCTTTTTACTGCTTACAGAAATCTCCCTCGTGAATAGGCTATTCATGAATATCAAAACCTCCTTTAACATAACTGCACTTTAGAGTTGCTGCTCTATCCTCAGGTAATACTGGCAGCAACAGAGCAGTTCAACTTGAAGCCCAAGCAGGGGATCACCTTTCTCCAAGAGAGAAGAGTCATATCTGCCTCAGACTCCCCGCAATATCCGGCGGAGGTGGCTAGTTTCCTGGTAGACAATCCCTGGCTGGATAAGGCCAAGATCGGGGAGTACATTGGAGATCGCAAGAACCCCCCCATTTTGGATGCTTTCGTCAAGTGAGCTCCAAGTTGTTTACCGTTGACTGAGTTCTTGGGCCTGTAATCAGTTGTGATGCAATAGAACACCTAAAAGTATATACTCAGGGTTTACTACTACAAATGTAATTACCTCATGTTAGGTATAATGAGTGTACGTTGAGTTTAAAGTCAGATTCCGCCATGTTACATAATGTCCTTCCTTGGACAGTGTTGTGGCAATGGATTCAGTTTGCTACGTGATTATAAGTACATGAGAATCCCAATTCAACCATGAGTATATATCATTACTGCTGCTAAGTCAGGTACATAATGCCTTTGTGACAGTGTTTGGCTATAAATTTTCTGATATGTATGCATGAGAATCCCAATTCATTTACTGCTACAGGCATTTCTCTCTGCACGGGACTCATCTGGTGGACGCACTGAGACATTTCCTTGAGTCGTTTCGCTTGCCCGGGGAGTCCCCTGTCATTGCCAGAATATTGGAGACCTTCAGTGAACACTGGCTGGTAAATATGATGTACATGTTTGGTAGGGTGTGTGCACTAATCTAAGAGTTTACCATACGTCGTGCATTTGTGCAAAGGTATGCTGGGAGGGGGGCTGTTATTATATTAACACTCCTGTCAATCACCATTTACAAACCCATGAGTAATGGATGTATTCACTCCAGTCCTGCAACAAGGAAGAGTTGGGCAAAGTATTTGCCAACAGAGATGCCGTCTATGTCCTCTGTTACGCAATCCTCATGCTGAACACTGACCAGTACAGCACTCAAGTCAAAAAACGGATGTCCCTGGAGGTAATAATGCGCCTAAATCTCTGTTCTTTAATGACAACTCAAGCCCCATGGGGATTATGTGTATATAATGACACATTCCGCATTCCAACAGTTTCTCTGGTCCGTGAAGTTATTCATAGTAAAGTATCGTCTTAAAGCCTTAACTGTGAATATTGTGTATGTTTTTTTTGTATACCTGTTCATCAGGAGTTCATTCACAACCAACGCAAGATCAATAATGGGGAGGACTTTCCACGGCAATTTTTGACTGACATTTTCAACAGAATCAGGTTAGCTAACTGTCCACTCTCTATACTATGATCCCTGTAAGAAACCAACTCTATTAGGGAAGATGAGATTATAATGCCAGATGAACATAAGGGTCAGGTGAAAGAAAACTACCAGTGGAAGGTAAATATGCTGTAGATTATCTAGGATTTGGTGTATAGTAAATTTGTTAGAAAATTGTTTTGTGTGTGAAAGGTTTGCTGTGAATAAGCTGCTTTTGTCTCTGGACACTATATTATTTTGGTACATGTAGAAATATATCACCATCTGTGTATTTTATAGTAGGTATTGCTGCACCGTTTATATTAGGTGTTGCTGCATCGAAGCAATGGGCCTGAAGCTACCTACCTTCCAGTCAATGTGACCTCATACAACCAAGATCTCTACCTGTTGTGTTGGAGCCAGAGTGTGGCAGCTCTGTCATACGTGTTTGAGAATGCCGAAGAAAGGCCATTGTACTGAAAGCTATCAATGGATTCAGGTCTCTTGTTTGAAAAGAGTAGTATATCAGTTGTAGTAGCAGTCTGGGTGGGGTTGTGGGGACTTCCTGGACAGAACACATATGACTAGTGCACCATTGTATAGTGAGCCACTGTTTGGCCTTTAAAAGCTAAGATGATCCAATACACCATGTCAGGAGGGAAAGGTTATTCATGTGGGAAAGCTGTTGCTGGTCCTGGGCTGCCTTGCTGGTGTAGCCTTTATATATATGTCACTAATACTTATGTTCTGCAGTATGTGTGCCTCTGTGGCTGCCCATTATGAGCTAAACCAAGTCTTTGACAAGCTGATTATCTCGCTCTGCAAATTTACACTCTCTTGAATCCACCAGAGGTAGGTGGCACATAGACACACAAAAAACTAAAGATTCCACTCAATACATTGTGCGTTTTTTACAGACGGGTGGGTGGTATATACGTACACATGATAAATCAGTATATTATAGTAGCTACTGTATAGCTAATTAAAATAAATCTGACAATCAGTAGTAAGATTCCACCTCATCCTGTTTCTTCACACAGACACCAAATGCAGTAGTGGTGACTCTTGGCACCAGCTCAAAAACGAGGCAGTGTCTCCTAACAATGTTTTCACTGGCCCATCAACACGGCAATATTCTGAGAGAGGGCTGGAAGAATATTCTGGATGCTCTTGTAGCACTCTTCAAGGCAAAGCTGTTACCTGATGAGCTAGTGCAAGTGAGGTGTAGCTACAAGCTCTATGGGTAGCATTACAGCATGTGTATACTCTGTGTTTATAGCCCTCATATTATCTGTGTCGGCATGCCAAAAGAATTTAGCTACTGCAGTGGGTGGCAGTGCATCTTGGTCGTGAATGTCCTCTGAAGATATGTACATAATAATAACAATGCTAAATATGGTCATGTTATAGGTGAGAGACTTTGTCCATCCCACTGGGAGTGTGTCTCTATTCCGTGAGGAGGCTCCCTCCACTCGCCCCGACTCCTCACTCCTCTCCTCCCTCTCATTCTGGCTACTCAATGACAGCCCCAGTGGAGCCAGCAAACCCTCAACTCCGTCCGAGGTCAAGGCACGCAAAACTGCCAGCAAGTGTGTTAAGGTAAGGTGAAGGGGTGTGTGTATATACATGATACCAGCTCAAAAGGGCAGGCACATGTTGGCAGCAAAAAGCATGCCCCACTGCAGCTACACCACCTGAAAGTTGCTCTATATTGGGGTGTGGATGTTGTGTGGACCTTTGTCATAACATAAGGGCATGTGCTACTCCTATGACTCTTTTGCAGCAGTAGTTGTTCATTGTGTGTTTTTAACCAATCAATCTCTGAAACCAGGAGTGTCGTCCAGAGCAGATAGTGACTGAGAGTAAATTCCTGCGACCACAGTCACTACTGGAGCTGATTAAAACCCTGACATTTTGCTCTCGTTCCCCTGAAGACCACGTGGCACTGGGAACTGCATTTCAGGAGGAGACGGCGGTTTTCTTCCTGGAGCTACTGGTGGCTGTGGCCTTGGAGAACAAGTAGGCCTGGGTCTGGGAAAAGTGACTTGACTAGCTAAGTTTGTTTTGGTGCCTAAGGGGAAAATGCAAGCTCCAGGTGTGTCTCTTCGGTTAAATTAACATCTTTTTCAATGATAGGAGCAGTTGTACAATCAACATAAAGCATTATAGGAGAGACATACTGTTAAACAAGCACTGAGCACACAGAATAAGACTGTTGGTTCAAGTGAGGGGGGCTGCAACACGACTAGAGTTTTTTAGCTGACGACAAAGTACCAAGTTCTTAAGGGAGTCACTAGGGCTGCGAGTCCACAAAAGTTCTTCGCCATCATCGGTAGCTGTTGTTTTACTGGAGCAGGGGGAGGTGGTGGTGGTGGTGGCGCTCCCTGCAGGAACTGCAGTTGTGGGTCGTGTTCTGTAAGGTCCTGATGTGCAGAACAGTTGTAGGGGCTGGGTAGCTCAGTGTACCACTTGGAGTTGGCAACCATTCCCGCCCTCCCGCAACAGTTGCAGATCTGAAGTGGACTCTGAAAAACTGTGGGAAATAATAGAAAGAGTAATTGTAGTTTGCATCCCCACCCTTTTGTGTCGTTTGCACCCAGCATTTTAGAGATAGGCATGCTATACATACTCGCTTATAGATATCCCGATGCCCACGCCGCCGGCGCCCACACACCGCGTCACCTGCACCGCGTACTACCGCCTCCTTGCACACAAAGTGCGCGCGGTATAACTTAGCCGGTGAAGGCACGCAGACTGCGAAAAAATGGCTCTTTTATGTATGTCCCTGGAGCTTTTAACTGCAGTTGGCTGTCGTTTCGATTAGTTATCTGTATATAGGACTATACGCGGAGATCGCGGCGGCACAACGGCGAAAGGTAATAGCTAACATACTGTTTTCGAAGTCCTCAGTTGCTCTTTGGAGCCCAATCATTACTCGCTTGACCTGTAAAGGTTATTGCTGCTTCGGTAGGAACGCTGCAAGTGGCGATATTTTCTAGGACGCGGCTTCTTTATAGCGCGAGCGAGCGAGGACTCGGCTTCTTTATAGCGCGAGCGTGTGCGCAATATTATGCGCATGCGCATACCTTTCACGCGCGGAAGCGTGGTAGATTTTGAGATTTGAAGGTTTTTTGGCATGGCTAGCAGGCTGGTGTGTGTATTGATTGTTTCCTGTCTATACTGAGGTCTTACTAAAGAAACCAGGAATGTTCGGGTTGTGGTTTAGGCATTACAGTCATACAACCTGCATAACACTCAGTGTTATTTCCTCACTCAGGGATAGAGTGGCACTGTTTTTTACCGACTTGATCAACCACTTAGCCCGAGTGATCCAAACTTCACAGAAATATAGGTATGCAAAAACTTTTGAAATCAAGAATTTTGTCTAGTTAATTTTTTGCTCTCAGTTTTTTCCTAGAGCGAAGTGTGGTAGGACTCCTAAGACTTGTTATTCGCATGTTGAGCAGAGAAACCATGGTTTCAGAGGTCAGTTGCTTTCTCTGTATGTTTGCTTGGCAAGTCCAACTATGAATATGCGCAATTCTACCATAGATACATTAATACTACCAACTGTATGCTGGTATTAGTGTTCGTTGCAAGCAGGGAGTTTGTTCCTGCACAGACACAAAGTTTGTGTAACCTCCGAAAGTAGCTATCCTTTATAGGACGCCCGGTTCTATATACCCCATACTACATTCCTCTGAATCATAGATGGCTACATTCTATGCTCTCGAGGTGTACTTTATTCAGATATATTTGTGTGTTTGCTTGGCATGCATGCGCAGCGAGGCTTACAGTAGTTTGTTTGTCTGTCTGTCTGTCTGTGTGTGTGTGTGTGTGTGTCGACGCTTATTCTGGCACTACAGGCCTAACCCCCAGCAATCAATTAGCGATACCGCGCATGCGTAGTGCGCCGAGGGTTTGCACTTCAGTGCTTTTCATTCAGATATATTATTTGTGTGTTTTCCATGTGCACAGCTGTTGGGCTCTCTCCGCATACTTCTGTTGCTCCCGTCCCCAGTCAACCAAGGCTACCTCCTACAGACCCATCAACAGATAGCCAGTGCTATTTCCGAGCTCATCCAGACGCAGGCTAGCTGTGTGAAGACCCAGCGAGACTGGATGATGCTTCTGTTTGTCCTCGAGTGTGTCGGGACTGGATCAAATCTGACATCTCTATCCACAGCCACGTGGCTTCCATCCCTAACCAGCGAAACTGGAGAAATCACGACTGCAGCAGCGTCAAAGCCATCTGAAACTGACCCTCAGGATACCCCAGTTGAAAGGCCTCCCCTGCCTGCTGCCGTGAAGACTAGCAATGCTGCATTTCTAGAGTCTCTGAGCAAATTCGATGTACTAGTGGAGGAGAGTATTGAGCCACACAACCCAGACATTTTCTTCAAGTGTTGCAAGACGTTGAGTGACTTGGTGCGGGGCGATGTTCACGTGACTGCTGCCAACTTTAGCGTGTGTGTTCACTGCATACGGACCTTTGCAGAGGTCAGTGGGTGTGGTCTGGCTCTGGAGCATGAGGCCAGCATGGGCAGGTCAGTGGACTTTTCTTCTTCCTTTTGTACATACGTACGTATGTCAATGTTGTCAATGTTGTCTGCCCTATAAGGAGTTAATGTTTAGAGTTTTTTGTTGAAATGTTGCAAGGTGATCACACTACAAGTGTACATAAGCCGGCTAGACATGTGCCGCTGTGAGTGGTCACCATGCAAATTGCAACCTAATAAGGTGGTCATTGAACTGGTAAAATTAATGTCCCCCAGAGGATTAATGCAGTAAACTAACTTTAACAAAGGCTAACACAACAGTGCATACAAATAATTTTAAGAATGAAGAATGACCCCTATATGTTTTGGGGGACACCCACACACTTACAAAACCTACTAGGAGAGCCTTGTAAGAATGTGGAGTCTTCTTACATTCCTCCAGGCTACATCCGTTCCACATGTCAACTGGAAGCTCCAGACACCATCCTGGAAGGTCGGTGTCTCCCTCAAGAGCCCCCTCATCCAGTAAGACCCTGGGAGACTCCTCCACTGCCACTGACAGGGAGAACCAGAGCTACACCACTGCCTCTCTCCAGCTACTGGACCTCATGGACACTCTGTTCTCTAGGTAAAACCAAAACAGAAATGAGTAGTTTTGTTTTGACTACTTCCCTTATAGTTTGATATATCCCATTTCCTTTCCTGTTTTACAATTTTTTTGCATAATTATGTTGTACTCGACCCAGAATTGGGAGGGTGTCCATACCTGAAGTTGTTTTGACTATATACTTTGTGGTCTGTAGGCAATGTATAGTTCTCTTCCTGTCCTGTTGTGGATATGTCAGTTAAACCATGTAACTTCCTTTTCCTTTCCAGAATTGGGAGGGTGTTCACTCCTGAAGCTGTGGGGCTGCTCAAAAAGGAATTTGAGGTGGAGGGCAGTAAAGCCACAGTGCACACGGCTCTGCCACAATCTGAACCAATCATGAAGCCAGTGACAGGCTGTGGTGGAGGAGGACTTTTGTGGAGAATAGCGTGGTGCCCACTGCTTCAGGTAAAGAGTAGTGGCTTCATTTAACTGGTCTAACTATGTGGATATGCCCTGTTATGGTTTTATGCTTTGCAGATGTTATGTAAGGTATGAAGGCTAATGGATCCCTTGGTTTACTCAAATTTGGAAGTAGTAGCTAGTTGTGCACCCAAATAACACCCTATATTAAGGGTCAAGTTAAAATATTATCTCTGTGCAGGGTATGGCGAGAATGTGCTGTGACTCTCGGAAGTCGGTGCGCCAGACCGGAATTACTTACCTTCAGAGAGCTCTGCTGGCACACGACCTGCAGAATCTCACCAGCCGTGAATGGGAGTCTTGCTTTCTACAGGTTAGCAGCACATTGTATACTCTCTTTGTTACACTCATGCATAGCAGTATATAGTACTATGGTTAGCTCTTTGGTGATAGTGTGTCAAAACAAAACATAGTACATGCATAACTTCAATGCGCTATAACTACAGTGCTTTTGTTAGGTATTCTTCCCCATGTTGTCTCGCCTCCTCGAAGTGACACCAACCGTTGACCTATTCAATCTTGAAGAAACTCGCGTGAGAGCTTCAAATCTTCTCTGCAAGGTGTGTTGACAGCTTACAACTCTTATCCATTTTCCAAGAAGAGTATACAAAAGAAGCCCATGACTGCAACTCTACCAAACATAAGCCTCCTTTGTGGTATATACTTTGATATGCATGTTCTGTTTCTGCAGGTGTTTCTTCAGCATTTGCTCTCCCTCTCGTCCCTGCCACATTTTCCTGACCTATGGTTTGGGATTTTGGACTTCATGGAAAAGTACCTGAGCCTGGAGAACTCTGATTTGCTGGTAATTAACCATCTCACCCTGCCTATATACCCTCTCTTCACTCCCACCCCTCTCTCTTCTTCTTCTTCCCTTAAATTCCCTCTACTAATGACATTTTCCCACTCTAACAGTCTGAAGCTATTCCGGAAAGTATAAAGAACCTTCTGTTGGTGATGTCGACACAAGGAGTGCTAGAGGTTTCAGTCGACAGAGACACAGAACACAAGGTCCGTGGGACGATGTGTGGAGAAGCTATCTGATACATAAACATCCTATTGTGGTACCTCATTGTTAAGTTTCTGTTTTATATGGCCCGCAGAATGAGGCGTCTTTGAACCTGCTACAAACGACCTGGATAAGGATCGAGCAGTTTTTGCCCGGCTTCATGAACCAGCTATTCCCAGCAGTCCCCCCACCTGCATCCCTATCTTCCCCATCTCCACTCCCCACACAAGCTCCTCCGGTCGAGAGCACACTACCTCAGCCTTCCGGCGATCACAGCAGAAACCTGGAAGGTGTGGTAGTGCAAGAGGTTCCGGTGACAGTGGATCATGTTATTGTGAGCAGTGGTGGTGGAGTTAGTACACTGGCTGCTAGGCCTATGCAGGCGCAGTGTAGTCCTAGTCGATCGCCTCCTGGGACCTCACCCCATGCCTCTCCACCCACTACTAGCAGCCCAGGTGAGAAAGAAACTGTTCAATGTGAAAATCACCTAGTGTGATGCTCATGCCAAGAATGTGTTGCGTTACTATAAGGTGGTGCACTAGCAGCCCAAGTGGAAGGTTGAATGTCAAAGTAATACTCATGTCATATCGTTCATGTAAGCCACCAAAAATGTGTTGCTTTCAATCGTTTCTTTTTTTGACGGAGTTTTCATGTAAAGTAAACTACGCACATTCTATCAGGTTTAGTTTGTAGAGAGTGTGTGGGTATCACACACAGACATGACATCATGAGTTCACGTGTACAGTATGCCTATAGTTGCCAACTAGGCTCATTGGCCTCTGTTTTCCCTCCAATACCTCCACTCTTTGGCCAGCCAATATTAATTAGCCTGTTTACTGCTAATTTGGCTACATTGGCCATGGTTTCTTACAGTTTGTGATGCATCATGTTTTCTGAGAATTTGGTTTTCCTCCATTTGTGTCTACAACCTACACAGTTGCTGAGTTGCAGGCTCAGGGGGAGGTTTCAATTGGTAGTTTCCCGGTCACACTCCACCCTCCTTTACCCACCCTCACCAACATCCCAGTGTCTCAGGTAGCTATGTGTATACATTTGATGTACTGCATAACATGCATACGTAGGCCTATCTTGCTGCTATACCCTTCATCTTCTACCATTCTGCATGATATCTTATAGGAGGTTTTGTCAGGTAGAATGTGATAAGAGAATCCCCTAGAATGGGCCTATTGTGGCTTTTACTAATGTCCTTATAGTAAAGACTTATTATGCTTGACTCATAATCTCAATGTATGCTACTTATGATGGGAGGATAATGTACTGTGGCATCTTCCTCAGAGGACACCCCTGAAACCAGGACACCTCTGCCCAGGAACAGTTTCTTGATTTACCCTGAAATATGGACACCTCACAAGTCGGTGTCCAGATTACAAATTCTCCTTTTTGATTTTGTCCTCTCCAGGGTGAAGAGAGCACTGGCTCTCAGCAGTCGCTTGTACTAGTCCAGCCAGCTACCCAGAGTACCCCACCTGCAGCTACAGCTTCACCTCTCCTAAATTTGTAACTACACCAAACACTCCATCTTATACACACACTTGGGGTTAACTACCCTCCCTATTGTGCTCACTAAATTGCTGTGAGAAATAGTCCCTGTTCTAGTGCTATATTTTCAAAGTGTCCAACCTACATTCAGTGGCAGTAAATTGTGCAGTGACAGAATATTGCATGGTGAAGATGCAGTTACACCGTTAGCCAGTGCGTCATTGTTTTTTGCACATCTACACTACGATGCGCATGCCCCTCAATAAGTGGTTTGCGGTGATGTCATACTAGTACTAAAACTGGTACTGCTTTGCCGGAACCCGCCCGACCATTAATGCTGCACTTGACATTGTAGAAAGCAGCAATTAGAAGTTATGAATGATTCTTCACATGATTATGCTCACTTCCTGAGGTACTTGTTTGCTCAGCTAAAGTTTACCCTAAGGTCCAACCAACTTGATCAATGTTATTCTGAGGCAGAACAACAAACCTTTAAAGCGCGGTCTCAATCTGGCAAATACTGACATCCGTAATATTTTAGTAGTTTTTTTGACTTCTCCTATAGTATCTTCAAAGCCAGGTATGTAAGGCCTACACAAATATTCCCGGGCTGGAGCGTCTGCTGCTTTCTTTGCCCGGTGCCGGGATGTCTTCAAAATAAAGCATTTGTAATTACACAGCTGGCAAAATATCCCAAGTTATGGTGACTTCTCCTATACTATCTTCAAAGCCAGGTATGTAAGGCCTACACAAATATTCCCGGCTGGAGCGGCTGCTGCTTTCTTTGCCCGGTGCCGGGATGTCTTCAAAATAAAGCATTTGTAATTACACAGCTGGAAAAATATCCCAAGTATGTTTACTTCTCCTATACTATCCTCAAAGCCACATATGTAAGGCCTACACAAATATTCCCGGTCTGCTGCTTTCTTTGCCCGGTGCCGGGATGTCTTAAAAATCAAGCATTTGTAGTGGCCTTACCCTACAACTGGCAAATATCCCAAGTTATGGACTTCTCCTGCACTATCTTTAGAGCCAGGTATGCAGGGCCACCAACTTTCTACAAATGTTCCCGGGCAGGAGCCGCATATCCTTGACATTTCTAGTAGTCCTATCTCTGCACAGCTGGCAAAATATCCAGAGTTCTGTAGTGTTTTTGGACTTTTCCCGCACTAGACATTCAGGGCTTTGCAGCTTGTGTAAATTTTCTCGGGCAGTAGAGTAGGCATCATTTCCCAATCTTCAACCACTTATCTATTGTTTTGATATCATGTACCAAGTTGACAAGTGATTAACTAAAAGATTTGATAAAGGACTAAAACCTCTCAGAACAGACTGTGAGGTGTCAAATGTTTAAGAGGACAACCTCCTTATGAAGGACAAAATGCTCGTATCCATGCATTGTTCAGAGGTTCCACTGTAGTTGCTCCAAGTTGCTGGATCTACGTGTGGGACACACAGTGTTACTGCCAATGCTAGTGACTTAATGTGCTTAGCAGCAGTAGTATCTGTGGTCGCTGTTCACTCTATGTTTAATCAGTAAAAAATGCTCGTGGGTGCTGAAATTACGCAATGCAAGCACAACCACATAAAATTTTGGTTGAACGACTTAGACCCACCCAAGTAGAAGAGGAAGGCTGACGAGTGAGAGGTATAATATTTTCATTTCTGACCACTGGTAATCATGAAAATTGACAAGAAAATGTTACAAAAAGCATAAAATGTATTATATTTCGGGCAAAAGTTTTTTTAAGTTTCTCTGGTGACAGAGACCCATGACTGTTTCCGCTTCTCTTTCTTCACAATGTCTTCAATCTGCCCCAGTAGGGTGTCCATGTAGATTAGGAAAAGTGAGGCTGTTGAACAGAGGGCAGAAACACGTATGTAGTTATTGGCGAGCGAAGCAAGCCTTCCTAGGCGTTTCAATGCAGTGTATTTTATGTGACAGCACTGCACATACCGTAATAATTGTAAATACACGTGAAACATCGAACTGCTAGCTCCTCTAATAGGGCACATAAGAAGTGGGAGCCTTGTAAAGCTGCAGGTTTTAGCCAGGTTTTGAGACAATGGTTGGATGGGCAGTGGGGCAGGCCCAGGTGAGGCTGGATAGTTCTTCAATGGGTGGGCTCAAGGGGAGGGCTGGGGAAGCCAATGGCTAAGAGAACTATGTTTTTAGCCTGATAAGGTCACCATGGAACCCTGATGAGGCAACCACAGTGTGGATAGACAGGTTGACACAAGGTGAACTTGATATAGGCAAGCTACCCTACTTCGCAGGTGGGTGACACCAGGGCCCTCATAACATGGGGGAATGGGAGTAGGTGGCAGGGCCACACCAAGGAAGGGAAGCCCTTATCACAGGGGCACAATTGGAACAATGACAATTGGAATTTGGGGTAGCCAGGTGCATACTGAGGGGATAAGATAAGGAAGCCCTTGTGGTCAGGGGAGTAGTAATTAGGGTCTGTGGGTGAGAGTCTAGGTTGTGCAAGAATCTTCACCTGAAAATTCACTTCCATACTGTTCTTCCAACGCGCCAATCTCGTTGAATGAACGCCTTGCCTCCTCCTCGGAGATCTGCTCTGGGCTGAATGTCCTGTAACGGAAGTATTACAAGGAGTTTTTATTATACCTAATTGACACGATATGTAGCACGTTGGTCATGCATCAGCCTTTCTGCACGGAAAAGTAGCTAGGAAGTGTGGAGTGAGTTTGATAGCCAGCCAGACTATTGGGACCACTTCCACAGCAATAGTGTGCTCCACATGTTATAAAAGGGAGGCCCTCTATAGTATAGTGCAGCAACATGGCTCCAAGTGGGGCGAAAGGTGGGCGTATGTAGATCAGGAAGGAGTATAAATCCTACAGATAGCAGTGGGTGTAACTGTACTTACATGATGCTATCATACTGCATGGCCTTGATGAGTATCGTCACTGGAGGTGCCTTGCTTTTCAGACTCTGGAAAGCTTGCACGGTGCCGGCCATAACACAGTGCTTACTCTATGGAGATAGAGGGCGCACAATGTACGAAGGGCACGAGACTTGTTATTTCGATATACCTTGTTTTCTCTTCCATTTAGAGCCTCCAGTCGAATGACCTCATAGCCTCTGTCAGTCCTCCAGAAGTCCACGATCTTTCCCTCTGCCACTTCTCGTTTTAGCCGAGCCTCAATGATGCGTGCTGTGCTATCTACTAATTCTGCACAAATTTTAAAGAGCAGCATTTCAAAATTTTTTGTGGTCCTGTTGACGGTGTATTTCTTATAGTAAACTGATGGTTTATACATCTCACTTGTAAAAACGCGTAATACACTATCAGAATAACATCTTTGCAGGATTCAAAGATGTGCAGTGTGCATGCCCCACCACTCACCGGTGTTGCAGCAGTAGAACATGGTGGGGTAGCTCTCAAGGAGCGAGGCTACCACTTGATCTGCTAAGGCTCCAAAGATAAGCACTGGCCTCATGCCAGTGTGTGCTTCCACCTCCTCGTAGATTGGGATATCCAGACCTTGAAGTCGGAAGCAAATAGTACACCATACGCTATATTTGACAAGTCAAAGTTTCTTACTTTCTCCCTGTGCTTCTAAGTACTCTTGAGCCTTAATGGAGTTGGGGATTGGCCCCATTCTCTCATCTGTGCCATCACTGTTCAGCCGAGACACCCAGAAACAGGAACGGAAGCGTTCAGATGGTGCCTTTGTATGGAAAATAGGAACGGTGGTATATAGTGCAATACCATGTTGTGTAAGTATAGAGGCGTACTTCATCGTGGATGTGGAAAACATCTCCGGCCTTTATCTGCAGTTCTTTTGGTGTGCGTGGGACGTAGGTGAAGTTGGCTCTGATATACGTTGCATCGGCCAGCGGGTCCTGCTCTTGCATGTCTGACACATCTTCAAAAGAGGGTGAGAGGAGAGAGAGGGGATGGAAGGAGTGCAGAGGGGTGAGGGGGTGTATTGGGTAGGAAAGGCTGCTCATGTGGTGAATTTACTACAAGCCCTGGCAGTGCCTGTGTTGAATTTTGGGCAAGCCTATCCAAATAGTGGGATATCTTGCTTATATACCTGGAAGCACACCAAATGCTCTGTACTAACTTGTGGTGCTGGTTGACCGCCGCGGTTCCTCCATCACGCTGCTCATGGAGGGAGCGTGACTCAGAGAGAGGTTGCTCCAGCTGCGTCCTCGCTGTCCCATGCTCGACGAGCTCATCCCTGATCGCGGGGGAAGGGTCCGCGTCTCTTCCGGCGAACTCAGCTTTGTCAGGGAACTGCAGCAAAGGCGATGATTATCAGCTAGCCATATTTTGGGCCAGTGGGTGGCATATCAACCCAAATGAGCCTCTTAAAACATTGCACCACCTAAGGAACACTGACGTTTTGCATGAGTTTCAGGTGGTTCAGCCATACTGAACACCTTCAAACCTCTCTAAACCTTGTCAGTGTTCGGTGAACAAAGGGTGCCAATCTATACCTGGATCCGTGGGCGCTGTTCCCTTTACGTTTCCCTCTGAAGCGCTTTCTCTTGTAGCCTTTTTGAGCCTTGCGGTGCGAGGTAGCTCCATTCTCTTGACTACAGCTCATCTCAGAGTAACTACATGTATGAAAGTGTATTATTCTGTTGGCCAAACATTAACTAGCCCTGTTGAGGGTACGCACCTTAGCTGAGTGTCAGAGAGCTGACTGGGACTGTCTTCTTGACTATGCTGTGAGTTGTTGGTGTTGGAATTTTCCCCATTTGACCGTGTCCTGAAGGCATTTCTGGTTAACGAAGATTCATACATTGGCTCTATTGGTGAAGAGGGTCGCTGTGCACATACCTCTTTGAGTCAAGTCTGTCAAAGTACTCTTCCCCATCTTCAGGCGCATAGCCTCTTCGCTCGTGGGAAGGCTCCATTTGCGTTGGTGCCATTGTGTCCACGGTCAACTGGTTGTGGGTCACCGTGGAAACGGAATGGAATGTGAGGTCGATACTCTGACTGCTACTGAGTCCATCATATTCACCATAGCTACTGTTGTGTGAAAAGAATGTGAATAGTAAGGTTGGTATTCTATAGCTGGAAGAATGCCCTTCTCATAGCATACACACAGGTGCTGATGCTTTAGCTTATCCTTCTGCTAAAAACCAAGGCATGCAGAGAATGTGCAGTATTTTAAGCTGTGTGTGGTTGATACCTCTCTGAGAGGTAGCTCTCTGACTGGGAATACTGGCTTTCTGTGGTTCGTTCCGACAGGAGGACCTCTTCGTATTCGATGCGACGCTCATTAAAGTTGCCGTACATCACACCGTCTGACACTGGCCTCTGGCGAGAGGAGCTGGGGGTTTGCTCGCTTCTCACCTGCAAATCATTGCAAGCAGCAACATTGACTTTCTAACTCCTTCACTCTCCCTTCAATACGCAGGCATTCCCCTTTCTTTTTTTCTCTTTTTCTTACTCCCTCCCTTATAGCAATGGATCTACCACTGTTGTTAGTATGTATACCCCGCCTATGTACATACGTGTATACCTGGGTAACAACTGAGACCAATTTGGTGGGCTTGGATTCACTATCTTCACTTCCAGTCTCAGCGAGATCTTGGGAATAAGAGTCCCTGCGTCAGAAGATGTATGGATGATGACATGAAAGTTCTTCTACACACAGCCATACTGTATGTACCTGGAGCTGGAGTAGCTCCCTCTCTCTTTGACTGGCTGCATGCTGTGCCTTTCGTGTTCCTGCTTCTCTGCAGCAGCGTATCCAGTAGCCTTTGATTCTCTCTCCGGACCTAAAGGGTGGGCATTGCAGTGAAGATTGTGAGGGCTGTGTTTCTTTAAGACACATACTGGGCGATCTCTGTGTTAGAGTTTCAGGGGGGGCGTAGGTTTTCCTTATGTATGTCGGAGTGGAGTTTGATGAAAGGGCCACTGAACTCCGCTTGCTGCTGCCTAGTGAATCCTCGCTCCATTCCTCCTGCATCATGCTTTGTCCCGTTTCGTTTCTCATGCGAGAGGCAGTGTTACTGCCGCTTCTCTCCACGATCAGCTGGAGGACGCCTTTGTGCGGTTTGAGAAGTTTCTTGACGGCCGACGGCTTCTCCAGACTGACCGAATGCTTGTTAGCCTACAGGTGCAATGCAGCATAATGTGTGAAAGCCTCGTACAAGGTGTATACACCACACCTGGAGGATTCTGTCTCCAACTTCCAGTATCTGGTGAGCAGGTCCTCCAGGAACGACTTCAGTAACTCTGAACAAGCTCTCCCAATTGTACCGGAACCCCAAATCTAAAAGGGCATACGTGAAGTAATCACTCTACAACTATGAATGTGTGTGACCCAGCACAAGCACGCTGTATACTCAACGTACTGTCTTTGCTGTTGACCAAGAGTGAGAAGTTGTATTCTTCAGGTTTTGCTACAACTGTGGGGTCGACGTGAGGGACAGAGTTCACTGTAGACACTATCCCCATGAGAAGCGGCTGTGCGTGGCGTCTTCTTCGTACAGACTGTGTACGGAAGAAGAATGATATTGGAGTATATAGTACCTGATCACAAATGGAGAAACACATCAAATTTTGCTAACTGTCTTAACTCATCTTCTTATTCATTAGAGCACATGCTTAATATCCAGATCTCTGCGGATAGTGTGTAACGAGACATACCACTGTAAGGTTGCCCTTGGACTCCTTCACAGCTCTGACAGCCTCGCGATGGTCGGCGTTTGCCATGCTCTGGCCATTCACGCTCTCCAGTATATCTCCAACCCTACAACCAATCATCCATCACACACATACACTTAATAGGATTCTCCTGCGTGTGTTTACTTTACGAGTCCATCTGCTGGGCCGCCACCCGTGACAGTTGTGACAATGAAGGCTCCAGGATTGGGCAGCTGAGGTTGGTCTCTCCCACCCACCACGCTGAACCCAGCCAGCCCATCTGAGCCCTTAAGAAAACAATGAAGTATACTTGAGGGGTTGTTATATATTGGCTTGTGGTGGCTTGTGTACACAGTCAATTATGATGTCATTATGATGTCACTAATTGCCTGCTTACACTTACCAGTGAAAGAGTGACGTGTCTTTCCTCCCAGGCTTGCTGCATGGAACGAGAAGAAACACACAAACGTAAGGAGCCATAGCTCTGAAAGCACAACTCGTGTAAATTCAGACAGTTGTAGTAAACCCACTTCATCGTAAGCTCCAGGCCACTTCTGTTTCCACAGCTCGTTGACTTTCTCGAGTGTCCTAGAGTGCTCGGTGACTAGCCTCTCTTGGGTCGACTTGAGCTGCTGGCACTGCATGCCGAGTCTGTTGATCTCAATGGAGAGCTTGTCACGCTGTTGCTCCGTGTTGATCAACTGAGCACTACAAACAAAGAGTGTGGAGTGAGATAGTCACGTCCATTGCTGTGGATATAATACCTCAGCGATGAGAGCTCTTTCTTTTGCTGCTTGCTGTGGGCATTGAGAGTGTCCCGCTCCATCATGAGATCCTCGATGCGCTGCTTCAGGTCAAATATCCTGTCTTCGTTCAGCTTATTCGAACTGGTCTGCAGTGCCTCAATTTCCAATACCTAAAGAGCCAATTGTGAGATTAGGAGCATGATACATGTATACAATTGGACGGTCGTCTACCTCAGAGGAGTATATACAACAGTATGGTTTTTGTAGCTCACCAGGCCGTCTCGCTCTTGGAAGAGGCTCTCGACTTTGTGGAGGACGTCAGCCATGTTGGGTTGATGGCCAGGCTCCTGGGCTTCAGCTCCAAACAGCTTCTTGTGAAGCAATTTTCTCTCGCTGTCTGCCACTTTCAGTCGCTCCATTAGTGACTTCAAGTCCTTCACAGAAAAAAAAAACCAGTCCATAGCAAACATGTTTGTTGTTTAGGTAGTGTGCATGTGTGCAGAGAAGTTTGTATTAATAAGTGAATAAAGTTTTGCAAATCAATGCCCAGCTGCCATTCGTAATACTGGGAAAGTGAAACTACGTACCTGAGAAAGTGAAGGTGATCTCTTTACAGCTGAGGTAGAACTGGACTGTTGTGATGGACGGGTGCGACTGTTGACACTTGTCATACTCTCGTGCAGTGAGGGTGCTCCCAGCTTCATGCTGGTCTGCGTCACAGACTCCCTGATTCTCCCCATCTCTTCCTCCACCCCGGCCAGTTTATCCTTGAGCTCTTTGTTCTGACGACGCAGCTCAGTCATCTCCGTGACCGCCCGGTCTTTCATGTGTTTCATCGTCACCAGCTCCTTTGCATCCTTCTGACGCTGACCTTTTATCTGTTCCAGCTTTTTCTACAGTGACCACGAGAGAAATTCAAAGTATGAGTTGTGCCACAATATTAGAAAAGAAAGAAAAACAAAGTAGAGAAGTGTGCCTTAAAAAAGGAATCGAAACCGCGGGGCTTTGTGCTGACCTTGTGTGATACAGACTCCATCACAAATTTCTCCCTCTCCTTGTTGGCAATGTCTCTCTGCTGCTGAATGATCTGTCGCTCTGCCTCCAACTCTTTCAGCTTGCTCTCCAGCTGAATGCTCTGTTGATAGGACACTGCATTGTCCCTCATGGCCACTCCTAGAGGTAGACAAGACCAGTGAATTGAAGAATTAGCAACACAGAGGGTTAGAGGAGATAGTCAAACTGCTTTTCGCGTGAGCTCAGTGGCAGCAGGAGTTATGATTTTGGACGTGTATCTTGCTGATTTTGAAGCTGTGTGTATCGAAATGCTTGTTCTTGCCTTTCTCCTTGCCGAGCATATCAATCTGGTTCTGAGCCTCCTTGTACTGACTGGCAGTCTTGTTCATCTCGAGCTGCGCAGTTTGCAACTCGTGCTTGAGTCTCTTCATTTGCATCTCCATCTCTACCCGCTCCTTGTCCAACTGAGTCACCTAACAGAGCAAGCGGTACAGAACAGCAATGAAACCAAGTGACATCACTACTTACCTTGCTTTTGAGTGTGTCATTGTCCTTTTGGAGATCGTTGAGTGTCTGATCTGATCTGACGAGTCGAGGTCTTAGCCTGGCTGCTACCCTCACCGGGATTCGCTCCAGTCCCCCATCACTCGACGTTGTCAGATTTGACGTGCTGAAAGACACACGTACGAACGAGTATATTCTGCATTCATGGAGGCAATAGTGCCACTGACCTTGAGCTGAGTTTCTTCTTGGCAAAGGAGAGGTCACCAGAGTGGGTGAGAGATGTGAGATCTTGCAGGGATCGATCCGAGTCCTCGTCTGCCGAACCCTGAGATTCAATGACGAGACAGTACAGCTACACACATGAGGTGAAAAAGACAAGAGACTGACGGGTGAAAATTTCTTGAAGGGGAGAGAGCCACGGTATGCCCTGCTTCGAATGGTGAGAAGGTCCTCCGAGCTTCCGCGCATTACCCCCATCCTTCCCAGACCTCGAACTGGACTGCTGTCGCGCAACCTTACACAAGACACGGGAGATACATACGTCACAAACGCAACGAAACATGTATTGCGTTACCTCTGACATTCCATTTCCAGATTGTGCGCCCGTGCTTCCATGCGCTCAAGTTTCGCCTGAAGTTCTCCGTTTTCATCAGTCAGTCTGTCTCTCTCCTTTGCCACGCTCTGTCGCTCTTTTCTCAGGCGGGAGAGCTCTGACTTTAGTTCAGACACCTCTGCCGTGGTCTTCTCCCTCTGGTGGTCATTTCCGGTGCTTCCGGCAACACTAACTAGCTTCTCCTGGGCCAGACGAAGTTCCCGGTCTCGAACATCAACCTGCTTCCTCAGCTTGTCCCGTTGGGCGATGACACTCTCAATTTCCCTCTTGGAGGTGTCGTAGTTTGGTCCGAGGCAGGATAGCCTCTCGCTTAGCTTGTCGTTCTCGCGCTGGCTCTCCGAGAGTTTGTAACGCAGGTTGTCTCGGTCCTGTTCTGCATCCTCCAGTGCAATTTTGAGGCTGTGAAACAATCACGGTTGATATGCATGATGAAAGCATTCCAGCTTTGCAGTCAAGGTGTTTGGTAAAAAAATGCCATACATGATTTTTTACACACACCTTTGTACATCTTCTTTGTATCTGGCCTGGAGTGACTGGTTCTGGGCAGAAAGAGCTTCCAGTTTCTTTGTCAGACCTTCCTGTTCAGCCCAAGACATCTATAGAAGAAAGACACACAATGTACATGAATGAGTGAAGCCTCGAACCTACAAGTCCATAGCTTATGACTAATGCTGACTTTTTCCGTATAACTCAGATTATGACTACAGTTTGAAGGTAGATAAAAGCTTTGATACTAAAGGCTAATGGCTCACCTGTCCTTTGCCCATGGAAGTTGTGGCCATTTTCTGCATCTGTTTCTGCATCTGTTCCATCTGTGTCCACAGCTGCTGGTACTTATCAATAGCACTGTCTCTCTCCGATTGAATCTTTTGGGTCTGTTCTGATAGTGTCTATATATACGGGTAACAATCACACATTGGATTGTGCTGCACAGGAAGTAATACGCCTTGGTACTGTTTGGGTAATTAAAGGTTGATGCGTGTTATTTGAGCTATGGAAATGCAATGAGGGACTTGTATACACAGTGATTGGTGCCTGTAGTAGTGCTATCCACCAAGTCACCTCGCGGCATGCTGATTTCAGACTTGACACATCTGCACTAATTTGTATCAACCACCCCTCCACACATAGTCACATTCCTGTCAGGCCAAAAAGCCAACTCTCTTGTGTATAATCCCAGTGTGCAATAATTATAGTCTAATATAGCCTCGGTGTTGAAGAAGGAGAGTGGCAGAAAGACCAGAGGCAATTGCCCACACATTGTGATCCTAGCAGGTGGTATATACATGAAGGGTGGAGTAACAGGCTCCAGTCGGGTCGTTATTCTTTGTGATTGGTAATACAAACTTATCTCCACTTTCATGTGGTAACCGTAAACCCGCACCTGCTTCGACTCACACACAATGCGTACCTAGCTACCAATTGCCTAAGGACAGGAAAGACAACGGTGCATGTGTTAGTTTTGTCTCCCTTTGTAGTTGAGCCACACATAAACCAACACTTGGAGGCTAGGATTATCAGTAGATTTAGCCGCAGGGGTTGACTGACCAGTCTCTGTACATACTGTGAAAAAAATGGAGCATGTCCTCCTAGTATTGACTCTAAGCCATCAGGAATTCATTTAGCACCACCCAAGGTTTTGTTATGTCTGGCTAACACAGAGTGCATCTTGCGAAAGTTGGTGTATGTGTGGAGTGTTTGTGTGTATGTAGGACTGACTTGCAGTTTTTGCCTGAGGCACTGGTTTCGTTGACGCATGTCCTCATACTGGTTCTGAATGTGACCGTTTGCCGGCTGTCGGCGGACTCCGGGCTGACGAGAGGGGATGTCCCTTCGTCCAATACCACTCTCCATCATCTTGCTCTGCCTCAATCTTTACCTGAAAAGATTATATTTCACGCTCATTAAGGCGCTCCTTCCTCCCTCCCTACAACATTATTAAACTCATTATGAAAAGCCACTTCAAAGGCGGACATGAATAAATAGCTGAAGCATCATTTTTCAGAGCTATTCTATGGGGACACAAGGAGCCAAAGGGTTGATATTCAACCCTCTTCTATCCTTTCATGCCCGTCTTTAAACACTTGTATATAATGTTACACCTACAGCTAGACACAGTACTCGGCATTATTTCCCACGCCAACACATGAACTGTGGACACACACAGGAGAGCGTGTAATACGTGACTTCGACTATGAACACACACATTTATGCTCCTGTTCCCAGCTGTAGCACCCCTTCTACAATTACAAAGGTAATAAACTTCATCCCAGGATCAATGATTTTCTTTGTATCCAATGGTGTATATATTTCAATGGGTGTCTTGCTTTACATGTATGACAATGCGCCACTTAGAACTCAGCTATCCATGGTGGTTAATAATACTGCTTGGCCTTACATGCGCACATGTGCTTGACTTCCCTTGTATGAGAACTGCCTATCAAATGTGGACTTTTCAGCAAACAATTTTAGCTAGCTACATGGCTACAATAAAGATACTACTACAAAGAATGAAGTAAGTTCGTGCAGTATGATCTTTAAGACGTAGCTTTTCTGTGTGATAGAGTTACCAGCTGGTGACATAGGTTATTGTAATGGGTATACATGATAGGGGACTCAACTTATATTCCCGACCTGTGTAACATTACCTGGCATACTACCTGGAGAGGTTATACAGGAGACTATGGTAAGGTGTGGTCAGAGTGCAATGCGATCCCAAACCCCTACATAAATCTAATCCTTCTCCGGTGACATATCATCTTCACATTCCACTGTGCAGACACACGCTTGTGTGTGGATGTGAGGTTTGGATGCATGCCAACCCTCCAAGCAACATTTGCTTTCTCTTGTTCATACACGACTCCTACCTTTCAATTTCCCATAATATATACCCCCTTATATTCTCTCCTTACTAAACTTTCAAAACAGATTACACCCCTGGCTGGTCTTTATTATCCATCGCTACAAGTTCATAATTCCTGGATGAATATCACCTTACGTATCGGTTTTCAACCCCAGCCGCGGTTGTAAAATTGGTTTGCCCCTATCAATTAGCTAGTGTTTCCTTTGCAATTACGATACAACAATGAAGGTTCTCTTTCCATCCTTGTCCAAGGTATACTCAAACCCCATTCTCCTACATGGTAGTATCATATTATTATGCAGTGCCCCCAGTCCCCACGCTTATACTTGTCACAAGCGAGCGCTCACAGCACCTACGGAAGTCCATATTCTTGCTAAGCAGTTACCGCAATGCATTCCTCGCTACAACACGCAGGGCATGAATATCATTACAAGAACTATTCCACTTAAGAACCACCGTGTACACAGGCACCTCCACAGTCCACACACATTGTTATGGATGGGGCTGTTATTCAAGGTTGGTATAAGCTAAGTGCTGTTGGTAGTAAAAACAGTGTCCACAAACCACTTGTAGACTAGACCACACCTACCTAACTTACCACCAGCTCTATACCACTATTATGATACATACAGTGCTCTAGTAGACTATAATGCTCATACAAATTAAACAACGGAATCTGTATGCTATATGTTCCACAATAGTGTACTACCTGAACCAGTGTTCACTCAATGTGGGCACTCGGACTGTTACATTCCGGGACACGAGTCGAGCAGATCGAGGTGTAACTGCTCAAGAAACGCAGGAATGGGGGCTAGCTGGAATGAAGTGTAGGCATGACCCCTTTGTTATCGCAGCTTCTGCACTGATTGCAACTGTGCAAATACCTCTCTATTCCCAGAGGAAAGGCTCACCAAATGCCTTGGGATCTCTAAGAACCGCAACAAATGTATGGGATGTCAATGCACGACTGCGTTTAACCACTAAAACGCATGAGACTCAAAGTGACAATAGTCGAGAGTAACCAAAACCTATAATTATACTCAGCTGATACTGTTTAACTGTAGCAAAACCCGTTGTTCACAATCCTTCAAGTCTTCACTGAAATAATTGAGCTTTATCTCAATGATGGCAATAATGACCAAAAACAGTTGTGTAGCCAAAGCAGAGCCCCTGAAACCACATACTACTGCACGTCTCATAGTAGCAGTTTTATACGGTGCTGAAAAGGGAAGGGACTGCTTGCATACTTAGTGGGTGCAATATTGAGTGCCAGTATTCCCATAAGTTGAGGCACTGCGGTGGGTGTAACAAATTATTCTCAGATTTGTTGCACGTACCATTCGTTGATAGAGTTTTACAAACTGCTATGCTTTCATATCGCACGCGGCTCAATATCTAGCAAGTGGATTGAAAGACAGTCAGACTAGGGAGCCTTTCCCTCAACATAGTCTGAAACATTATTAGTCTCCTGGTGCTGCTTCGGCACACTGGCATACAAAAGAGGAGAGTGCTACAAACATATCCAAGACACCGACTGAGGGACATGGCTACCATTGTCCTGTCGTGTGTGTGTAAAACTAGCCGACATTAGAGGGTTAGTTGCATGTGGGACACGCTTCAATGAGTAACTACACGGGCTTGTATAGCATGCACACACTCCTACCTGTACTCATAAAGATGCCTGAGACCACAAACACCCAGAAACTTAGGCCATCCAACTGGCGATGCTAATTGAGCCAAAATGAATTAGAGAGCTGAGTGAGAAAGGGTTCCTCCGTTTCCTATTCGTGGTTCTCATGGATAACCGACAGCCAAGCTGACACATGTGCAGCTGGAGCTAAAGGAAAGCTAAGTGATCAGCTTGGTCAAATGGGATAATACTTGGGGGCTCATCTGCTGGCAGTTTGATTGCAAACATGGTGTGAGAGGCACTGTTTTCAAACACACTAAAGTACCAGTCAACACAGTCTGTGTATCTGATGAAGGCATTTTCATTTTAGAACCCCCTCTCTATACACCTCACTGCTACACACACGTCTGTAAATGGCTAATATATTTATTATAGCTAACAGAGTGCTTTTGTTGTACTAAACACTCGGTTCAGCTTTTTCTAGCTGATTCTTGATTCTACAGTGTGATATCCTAAGATATGTTAACCAGGGAGCTATAAAAACTTGTCTCAAGTCTTTTGGCAGAGTCAACTGGTTGATCATAGTGCACCCCCACACCCAATACGTTGTCTGCATTACACTATTTTTATAGCTTGGATGGAGGGCAAATATCTGTAACAACAGAACTATGCTGATTTCCCACTGTTGGGGTTTATCCGCACGGCACTTGGGAGAGTTTGTTTGCGCTCGTGGATGAGCACTTTATGGCTACGTAAAACGCGGTGACATATAGCGAGCGTTCCCTCGCTGCATAAGCTAGCTAAGGCCGGTACTTAGGCGTTTTAGTCACCCACCATCTCCCTACTGCTCTTCGAAAACTTCATGCTTACACTATAATATAGCTAAGTCCATAGGACTGATTCCAACAACTCACCTTTTATCACTGGTTTAGAAGCGGGGAGTTTCTGCGTGATTATGATATATTATACGTCGCTCTATTTAGTAATAGTCCACAGTAGCAGTGATCCGGGTATGTTAGCAACGAAAAACCTCCTCCTATAGTACGGCAACGATGATTTCTTCAGCTGTGAAGACGAGAGTGCTCTATTGTACGGAACACACGCGAAGCTCTGAACTACATTCAACGTCGACTAGCATGGCAACCCGAGAGATATTCACTGCAGCGAGCCTGGGAGAAGAACACTGTAGATATGCGACTCAAGCGTAAATAATATAGCTGGAACACGCCCACCTACCGCGATACCAATTACGCGCATGCGTACCCGAACTTCCGCATGCGCATGCGCACCAGTGGAGCCAATTTAAAAAAATACAGACAACCTTACAAAACAAAAACACACACTTATATCCAGCTAGCTTCATCTTCAGTACTCTGACTACTACCGGTTCCAGCCCCGTAATCAGAGTATTCCATTCTCTGGTTCCTTTTGTTTGAGTGAGTGGAGTGGTCGCTGCGCAGACTTAGGGGCTCGTGGGAGCTAGACGTGCTACTGGTAGAGATTGTCTGGCGATCTCTGGACAACACCTTATTTATACCTGAAAAGAGAGAGGGCCAGAGAACGAATCATCACACAAGAGCACAACTGTGTACTGCAACAAATGTCACTTTCCACTATTATATTATTATACTGCCTAATGTAGCACACTATTTATGCTACAACTGTGCCTGTATAAAGCAGCGCTTACTTCCACTGCTGCGAGACGGCTTTTTCGTCAGTGAGGCCTTGCTGGAATTGTGGGTATAAGGAGCTATATATAGAAGAAAAACAGCTGTCAATTCATAAGACATTAATCAAGACAGTGGTGTAACTATAATATATACCTGTAGTACTGTTGCTGAAAGAGCCGTGAAAGGAGGCAGTTCGTTGAGGCTGCGAGAACTTTCCTTCCTCGTGCGAGGAACTAGAGTTGTGGACTGAAATCTTGGCCAGCTCTCCCTCTGATGGAGAATGCCTTGGACCATCCCCTCCTTGCAACCTGTGTGTAAACATACACACTGACACATCAGTGTTTGCACTAGTAGTATGCTGCATGAAATGTCTTGGCTGGAGTTGATATTGATAACTAGTTCATTCCTGGGCCCACTGTCCCACATGTGCATCTATCATGCAAGGAACAAGGCTAATGTTGGTGGAGATTTTGCTAACCTGGACAGTGCTAGTTGCTGGGAGAGGTGCTTGATGCGATTCTCTGCCGAGCGAAGCTCCAGAGCCAGATCATGCTGCACTTGCTGCAAGAAAGAACCATATAATCCCCTATCTTCTGCTCCCTCCATTCCTCCTTTCCTCCTTACCTCGGCCTTCTCAAACTTCTTCTGCCAGACTGCTGTGAGAGCCTCGGAGGTAGCCAGCGCCTGTCTTCTCTCTTCGTCTGCTCGCTGGACCTGCCTCTGGTACTGCTCCGACCGCTTCAACAACTGAGCAACAGAAGAAGGGAATACAAATGGGGAAAAGATATCAAAACCCTTACTTACACAAGGCAACTTATTTTTTAGAAAAATGTTGCAAGCAACAAAGTTGCTTAGTTTTTTGCTGCAATTTGAAGGCTGTTCTATTTCTGGCAACTTGTTACTGCAATTTGCCTGGTGTCTTTACTCTTTCTAGCTGTATAACTGGTGTATATGAAACAGAACTTGCCTTGTGTTCATACATGGCACACAGTCCTTTCAATGACTCACCATATCATACATGGTCCTCAGCAGGTCTCGCTCTTCCCTCAGCTCCTTCACCTGGTCCTCTGGTGGCAGATCCTCAGAGGGCCCATCTCCAACCAGTAGCTCCGTCTCTTCCCGAGATAGACTGGTCCTCGATACACGAGGCGCGTCACTCTCACTCATTTTCCTTGAGCTTGCCGATCGAGACAGTGATATAACCTGCGACTCTGTCTCTGCCTCATAACTACAGTGACAAAGAGTCACAATGGATCATCATCTTAGTTAACTCACTGCGAGTGCATTAGACGCAAAACTATATAGTGCTGAAAGTATATACTATTACTCTTTAGCAGCATCATAATTAAAGACTTAATGACAGCTGAAAAAGCAATACCCCATAATGTAGGCACTTTGAGGCGCACAACTCAAAAGCGATACATACATGACACACAATAATAGACCAAGGTGTTTGGAGGGGGAGCTTTAATAGTTGGGTCACAATAGCAGAGGTGAGTATAGCTGAGAATTCCAAGAGAGGGTTTCACTGTTGGAACTTCGAGCGCATATCTGGTACTGCGAAAGTGAGTATTACCCACGCTTAGTTGCCATGACTCAAATGCTCCTCTATGCTGAAGCCAAAAGGTTAAGGGTTGGTTCATCCAACCCCCCAAACCCTCCCTCCCCTCTCGCTGCACCCTTCCACACACTTCTGAGGTAGAGCAGATTATCCACTAAAAATCTTACAGGAAGGCGTGCCAAGTCACTGAGGCCGATAGAGCTTCAAAGAGCATCGATTTTACGCACAAAGCAAACTCACACACAGCATGAATTGCTCTACCTCCTACAAGAGAACCTCCCGTCTCTTTGAAGCCAAGTGCCCTGATTAAGGGAACAGGATATACCCTCAGTAAATGAAGTGCTCCACTCTTGGGCAAAAACACACTGCTTTGAATGTATACACATTATGAAGGCTCTACAGTTTCAGTTGTATATATGTGTGGAGCTACCATCCTTGCACGTGACAATATTTTTGCTTCATTTCATCTCTTTCTCGACTCTGACTTAGTCTGGCTAATCTTAATGTGCATGCACTAACTTTACCCGAACAAGATTACGTAATGAGTTAGTTTAGAGGCTACGTAATCGAGTAAGGGTAGTATTATTATAATTATGTTTGTGAGTTTGAGATTGTGTATTTCACTCACTGGTGGATCTCGTCTCTGAGTAGTGCAGCCTCTGCCCTGGCCTTGTCTCGTTCTCGAGCCACTTCCGAGCACACGTTGGACAGCTGTTGGTACTGGTGCATCAACGTATGGAGCTGGGCCTACGTATGTGTTTGGAGGGAGGGGGCAGGCGTATAATTAGATTGTGGGTCCAATTCCGTTTAGTCTACTATCTTTAGAGGCCGCTTGGAATGTTTTGGCAAAAGGGCTCTTAGGCTTCTATTGTGCAGTTCAATAGTGTGACAATTGCATGGATGAGCCAGCTAACTTACTTAGTACAAACACCAATTTGCTGTGTGTACACATGTGCAGGAAAACAGCTGCGGGACACTTAGTAAACTCTGTCAAACCATACAAGGTTTCAATTTCACACATACTGAGAATCTTCTATTGGTCAAAGAGTTGAACCTGAGCAAATTGGTAGTCGTCGTAGGCCTGATCTCTCTCGTGCTCCAGTGTCTCCGCGACTCTGGTCTGCGTCTCGAGAGCTGTCTTGCACTGGTCCAGGTCTGCCTTTGTCACCTTCTTCTTCTTACTGTCTTTGTGGTTCTACAGGAGGAGGGCGAGAGGGAGAGAGAGGTGTGTACTTACGTAAATGTGACCAGGCAGTGCTTGCTTGTTTCGGCGAATTTGGATCGCTACAACTATACATTTGCTCTGGGTGCGTGGTTAATGGCTAAGGTTGGCTGCAGCTGCCACCCAAGTATTATTTAGTATGCCAATAGTTTACTTTGGCAGAATGACTTTCCGTACCAGCCCATGGTGAAAACTGAGGCTCATACAGTAGTACGTACCAGCCCATGGTGAAAACAGAGGTTCATACAGTAGTACATACCAGTCAATGGAGGCTCATACAGTAGTACGTACCAGCCCATGGTGACACCAGAGGCTCATACAGTAGTACGTACCAGTCAATGGAGGCTCATACAGTAGTATATACGTACCAGCCCATGGTGAAAACAGCGGTTCATACAGTAGTACATACCAGTCAATGGAGGTTCATACAGTAGTATATACGTACCAGCCCATGGTGAAAACAGCGGTTCATACAGTAGTATATACGTACCAGCCCATGGTGACATCAGAGGTTCATACAGTAGTACGTGCCAGTCAATGGAGGCTCATACAGTAGTACGTAGTGACATCAGAGGTTCATACAGTAGTACGTGCCAGTCAATGGAGGCTCATACAGTAGTATATACGTACCAGCCCATGGTGACATCAGAGGCTCATACAGTAGTATATACGTACCAGCCCATGGTGACATCAGAGGTTCATACAGTAGTACGTGCCAGTCAATGGAGGCTCATACAGTAGTACATACCAGTAAATGGAGGTTCATACAGTAGTATATACGTACCAGCCCATGGTGAAAACAGAGGTTCATACAGTAGTATATACGTACCAGCCCATGGTGACATCAGAGGCTCATACAGTAGTACGTGCCAGTCAATGGAGGCTCATACAGTAGTATATACGTACCAGCCCACGGTGACATCAGAGGCTCATACAGTAGTACGTGCCAGTCAATGGAGGCTCATACAGTAGTACGTACCAGTCAATGGAGGCTCATACAGTAGTACGTACCAGTCAATGGAGGCTCATACAGTAGTACGTACCAGTCAATGGAGGCTCATACAGTAGTATATACGTACCAGCCCATGGTGAAAACAGCGGTTCATACAGTAGTACGTGCCAGTCAATGGAGGCTCATACAGTAGTATATACGTACCAGCCATGGTGACATTAGAGGCTCATACAGTAGTATATACGTACCAGCCCATGGTGACATCAGAGGTTCATACAGTAGTACGTACCAGTCAATGGAGGCTCATACAGCTAGTATATACGTACCAGCCCACGGTGACATCAGAGGCTCATACATACGTAAACTTATGCAAGACTTGATTTCTACATACACTGTCACATACGATAACAGAGGGGGAGTGCGGAGAACACACACAAACCATTGAAGCTATGCAGCACCGACCACAAAAAGAATGCTGCCAGTTTGCAATTCTTGTTCTAGTACAGTAATACGTGGAAAAAATCTTGGAAAAATGCGAAGACTGCACACGTGTGTGTCCAACCTCTTGGTGGCGCGCTGTAGACAGTGCATTCTCAAGACTCAGTAGCTTTCTCTGTAGATCATCTCTCTGCTCCACGATCCTACCACACTCCTGAGTATGGGAATTGAAATATGAGGGAATTTGAGTGGGTTATAATTATGTTGCAATGCAAGCATCGGACTTTCTCTAGTCTTATGCAACACAGCATTATAGTAGTAGTACAATAATTAACTCACACTAGGATTTTAAAAATGTGTGGGCATAATGCAGTGGGAACCTTGTCTTACATTACTGTACTTAGTGATACTAACACACATAATGCTGGTGTTTAACAACACTGTTAGAGCCACCTTTCTCTTTGTTCTCCCGAGATTCCGACATTCATTGGCAGTCTATAGTAGAGTAACGTGCTCACCTGTACTGCAAATTTCCAGCTGTCTTCGTAGAGCCTCGCATTAGACTCCAGTTGGTCCTTCTCCGAGATAAGATCCGCTACTTCTCTTTGGACGATGGCTAGTTCTGCTTCAGAGATACGCAGCCTTGTTCGAATGTCCAGAGTCGATATGCCAGCTGAGAGACGAGAGAGGAGGAGAGTGAGAGTAAGAGAGAGGAGAGAGAGTAAAAGAAGGAGGGAGGAGGAGAGAGATGGAGAGGGCAAGAGGAGAGAGGGAACAAGAGAGTTCTGAAGGAGCAATGGTATGATAAATTACGGCCGCTTATGAGATCAAAAGGTTTCTTAATGTGATATGTTTGGCATGAATAGATCAATCAAGAGAGAACTACAAATCTGTTTGAACACAGCTTTTATCATACATACATGTACTCTTATGGGATATGCTATACCCTAGAATAGACGACCTCATAGCTTAAAATCAGCAGTTATCTGTCCAAAGAGCCTGGTGCATGGGCACCAATCCACATCATGGCATGCATAGGCCCCATCAAATTATGCATATAAAATTAATGCTTCCATCAAATTATGTGTATAAAATTAATGCTGCCAATAGCCGCAGATTAACACGTAAATAAGAGAGCAAGAGCTTAGGGTCAAGAGGCCATGTAAACAACCTGTATATGAAACATATTTAGTGTAATCAACATGCATGCTTTGGTCCCTCCCACCCATTTCACACAAACAGACTCTCACACACACACTTAATAGATGGCAGTGTGTACGAGTGTATGCGTCTGTGCTTTGACTGTGTACGTAAACTGATAGCACACCTCCACATGCATAAATAATCCCCTCGAATACCATCTACCAAGAGTCGACTGATAAAGAGACATTCTAATGCATGGCGGTGGACTCAGTCAAGTGTGTTATGTTGGCCCAGTCATGCCACTGTCACACGATAGGTCAGATCGGTTAGTTCAATAGAAATTGAATATCTGTCTATACATAGATCTGTTGAGAGTAGAATTGGGCAGCTGAGCGACAGCCGGTTTGCAGGCATCTACTCTGTATTCGAATTACTGATCCCAACTCCCAACCTGCAAAGGAACACTATCCTTGCAGTCATTCGTACTCATGCAGTTGTTATCACTGGCGGACTACCAAGTTCTTCACATACACTATACAGTTACTGGCTGTATACTGTGCTCTTTCAGACACATGAACTTACAACAGGGAGTGAAAACAGACACCTTAGAGTTTTCAGTGGAAGAAAGTCTGCAGAGACCCCATGCAGACAAACAGTCACATAGAGGCAGAGAGGGAAAGGGGAGGATAAGGCTTCTATAGTTCACTCTTGTGCCCTTCCCAGTAAGCAGAATCTTAACAATATTGACTCGTCTATAGCCAACCTAACACAGAGTCGTCCAAAACTTCTATCACACTAAGATGATACATAAACCACCCGCAAGGAAAATTGCTCACAAGTAGGTGCACCCCCGTCAAGTATACACACATCAGATACCACCAGCTCTTTTTCAATAGCTGCGAGAGTGCAATAATTATTCTGTAGAAGAAACCGTAGACGGAACATAACCTGAATACAAGAGAGCTTGATCAGCCTTGTATAAATTGAGTATGCAAACACTAGAAGCCTAATCTGTCATCCTATATTGCATCTCAATGAAAAATTGATTTTATATCACCAGCTAGGTAGGTCAAATTCACTCAGCAAATTCGACACTGCTTTTGTGCAAATAAACTGAGCACTAATGACGTGACATAAACAAACCTACCTGTAGGATTTTTCAGCGCACACGCGCCCCTGCACACTGCTTGATACACGCTTCTGAAATAGTGAAAAGGATCTACAAGATCCTTACAAATCGCACAAGATCCTTCAACGGGCGTCACACTACAAGAAAACAAGCTCACGGTTGTTCTATAGCTGTACGAAAGGTTGCGCTATAGCTAGATCACAGGCACACGCTTGGGCGTGAAAAAAGACGATCTGCGCTAAGCTTGAGCTCTCTAGCTATGCACGCAAAAGCGTATTCTGGTCGATTTGGCACCTCAATAGCTACGTGTCTGCATGAACGGGTCCACTGTAACAACAAAACTAGCACTGAAGGCGACGAAAACAATGGGACCTCACAGGCCGCGAGAGACAGAGGAAAACTCACCCGGAGAGATATAGAGGGACTTTGTGTCTCCACGTACGACTCCGTTCAGCTTTCTCCCCGGCCTTGGCCTTCTCTTGACGGCTGTCGGCGGGCCGTCAGCGACCATTCCGTCCTCGGGGAGGACGGAGACGGACGGGATCTTCAGCTCGCCTCCTCCTGCAGCTGCTGCTATGCTCATCTTGCGACGGAAAAGAAGCAGGTTTGCTTCCAGACTTCCGCCCGTCCTTCCAAAAAGCAACTCTGTGACGCAGAGTGACGAGCTTGCGTATGCCTTGCTTACGTGGGCGGCCACACGGAGAGCTGAGGACGCGCGCGCGGGTCACATGCCCGATTGGTAGGCGTGGCAAAAACACGAAGGCGCTGTAAGTTTCGGTAGCTCTAAAACTGAGCTCTAAACTCTTTGGCTGACAGCGCGAAGGAGTTTGCACTAGTCTGAACAACGGATGTGTGTACATTTCTTGCTGCAGCATCGCCCTACTGAGCCGCTGCTACACAAACACAATGTCTACGACCTTCTCCAACCTCACGGTCGCCTCCAGGATTGGGTGTCCGTGGAACAGCAACTTTACCTGGGACGCACACGTCGTGACATCTACCGCCCTCCACAACCTGACTTTCATATGTCCTTACGGCGTGAACCGCACGTACTCAGGTGTGTATAAGCACATTTGTATAAGCTATAAGCTAGCTCTATACCTAAACCGTTTTTTACTGCCGCAAGGACTAGGAAGCTAGCTTGTCTAAGTTAGCTTGCCGTATACAGCATGGGTGGTACGTATTTGGATGCGTGCAGCACTCAATTTGCCAGTTTTGCCCCAGTTGTTAGCTTGTGTTGACTATGGTTTTTGGCCGGGGGTGTGCTAAAGCTGGCTGGTTAATGTGTTTGTTTCCACTCTCTACTCCTCGTCGCAGAGTTTGAGAAAAAACTAGAAGACCCTGCCACGTTCTTCGTCCAAGTCTCTCGCCTCATTCTCTCTCTCCTCCTCTTCCTTCTCGTCTCAGTTCTATATAACAGGTATTGTACTAATGGTCTGCATGTTATAGTGTGTGCATGAGCCAAAGTGAAGAATGTTTCGTACATGGGAGGGTTGGAAAAAAGGTCCCCTCCCCATCCAAACTTCAGTGCACATTTATGTCTAACAGTTAATCTCAGAGGTCTCAGGTTTTTAATTTTGCTAGCCCCTAGTAGGTGTGCTAACTGCCAAAACATTTACGGCTTTGTATATCGGCATTTCCCTAACTCTACATTTTATGCATAATACCCTGTATGAACCCCTGGCTATGCTTGATGAATGCAGCTACAGTATTATAATCTTCCTCTTCTTCCCTTGCTCCTGCAGTGTGACTGTGCTAGGTAGAACAATACTTAGTGTGGCAATGTGCTCACTTTACTGGATCTTCATGTTCCTCCTCCTCACTACAAAGTGAGCGAAATTCATCACAAAAAAACTTTTGACCAGCTGGTACGAAATGTATATACTTCCTGTTTTATTGATGCACAGGGCTATGGTATTTGTTGTACTGGTACCGACTATACCTAACACTGATAGTCCAAAGGATGCTGCCATAATCAACGAGGCTGGATTCGTGTGTCTCGTGGTACTGCAGTGTCTGGCCGACCTGATGCTCCTCTTAGCTCTTGATCACGAACAGAGATTTCGATCTTCTGGTACGTGCTAATCAGAGTAGAGTCTCATTATCAAGAACGCACTTACAAAATAATTCCACTTACTGCCGGTCCCTAACACATTTTATTTGCCTCTCACCTCTTTCTCTCCCTCTTCTTCTCTGCCCCTCATCTCTCTTCTTCCTCTCCCTCTTCTCTCTTTCTGTCATTTTTTTTAACCCCCCAGACTACGCAACCCTCAACAGCCACCCGTACTCCAATAATACGTGTATCCCCATCACCTTCAGAAGAGTCATGTGCTCTTGGTACAGACTTCCTGCCATTGCCAGTGTCCTAGTGCCCCTGGTACTCCTAGCAGCCGTAGAGATAGTCCTCAAAACGTAAGTGAAACTAATAATATAGCAGGTTGTGCGTACATTGGAGCTGACAGTGAAAGTATTTCCACGACGTTTTGTGCATAATAATCATTTTACGCAGTGGAACGAGCGATCAACAAGTGTTCATGCATGACTCCATACTCTACAATAGCAGTATACATAATTGTATTTTCGTCAGAAAGGGAAATATAATTATACTGGTTATTGTGTCTAGCAGTTATATACTCGGGCATGTTCATGTAATAGTGCAACTTTTCAACTCCTGACAGAGGCTATTTTTCACAATTTTGTGTCATCTAATCATTCGCACTATGTAATAATTATATGCAGATCCAGTCACAACAGAATGGAGGAGCAAGCCCCAGCAGCACTAGTATGGACGTTCGTAGTCTCCCTCTACCTCCCTAGACTCTGTGCTGTGGGTCTCATAGTCAGACTATTCCTCCTGAAGGACTCGCTGCGCCCGACAGTTCTTGCCAAGGTGTTTCTGGTGGCTGGGTTTCTGTGCAGTCTCGTGGACCATCTTCCCAGCTCAGTTACTACCGTGGCCCCCTATGCCGACCATGGCATAACTCCTAATGATCACTGTGATGGTGAGTAAGAACGGTGTGTGTTGTGTATATGAAAGATTTGAAATAGCATTTGATGCATGTTGTCCACTGCCACTCCAACCATGAGCTGGGGATGTACTGCTATTGTTATAGCGAGGGGCTTTAGAAGTATATTTTCACATTCTGTATACTTTGCAAAATCTATAGTGCTGGGTACATATATACATACTGCCTTAGGAATGGAAGGCAGCTAGTATTGTTTTGTGGTTCTTCCGACTCTGTCTGACTTTTGCGTCTACGTTCAACAGTAAGTCGCTATACCATTCAAATGCTAAGGTGTGGCAGGTAAACATGGGAATTGTACTAGTGAGAGTGTGTGGTGTGACTAATTATGTAGATCCCTGTGAGTTGAGCATCATGACGGTATTCGACCTGTTTCAACTGCTGGGAGGCATGTCTGTCATTTTCTACGCTCTCTTTGTCAGAAGTCAATACCTCAGAATAGAAAATGTAAGTCCTACTAATACCCAAGAACAGGAAAATGAGTGGTCAATAATGAACGTGTGCGTATATATGTAAGCAAGTATATAGAGCATTGGCCTTTTAATGAAGTGATCCTGCAAGTATAAGCATAGGTCTCTTTTACAGTGATATCCTTGAGCACAAGTCATTTCTCAAACTGTATAACTGCCATGTAATAATTTCCCCTCCAGTTATAGTGAAGCTCCCAATGAATCTTGTGGTCCCTTCAAATCAGAGTATCATTACTTGCTTTGGTTTGGCAGCTTGATACCTAAAATTTAACATCAATAAAGCTTTTCTGTATAATATGCAAATCTACTCAGTATTCCCTCTGATATTTCAGGAGTGCAAGCTAGCCATAGTGTGGGATATGCAAAGTCTGCTCAATGTAAATGGACGGAGTCAAGATGTAGATACTTCGTGATGTCACGCATTTTAATGCAATGTCAATCGTCTCGTCTATTTTTTAATCAATTCATTTCAAATACAGATGGTATTATAAACAACTAGTGATGTGAGGATTCGTATATATGGTCAGTCATCCTTGTCTTTGGCCTCTCTGGGTGGTAGCTGTACACAGGCTCTTGGGAAACCATCCTTTCACTTGCTTCCCCTCACCTGCAGATATTTTTTATAACGACTTGCCGTCAACCTTACCTTGAAGCATAGCAGCCAGTAAATAGCTAATACCATTATTGCTTGGTGTAACAAGCTTATGTCATGTTCTAGCTACGTGTGTGCAGAGTTTAAAAGACTAACCTTTTTCGAAAACCTTCTCCCCATACACCCAATACCTGCAGAAAACCCACAAACTATGGACACCCCCAAAAATAGAGAATTTCTAACAGTTGGTGCAATAGAGCTCACGTTTGCCATCTAGTAATGGTGACTTTGTCTCCCTTTTTCACGCTGACGAAACCCTCCCCACATCTGGGGCTACACAGCGATGTCATTAGTCCAAACGACAGGGGGCAAGAGTAGCCGGAGTAGGAGTGCTTCATGCTGCAGGTTATAGCTGCACTCTTCTTTATCATCTTCTGCTCCAGCTGCTCAAGCTGTTGGAAAAGTCTCAACTAAAAGCAAACGTACTACAATATAATGGAAAGGAGACTGTAATTATTTTGTCGGGGAATTGTAGCTCAGTAATTCAACTTCAAGTGAGTTCAAATCTTGGACAGAAACTGGATTTCTTCAAAACGTGTACACCATTGCGACATAAACTAACTACGTACCGTGAATGAGTATTTGTTGGAGCCTTCCTTTACTGGCCACTCTATGCCATCTCCCTTTGGCCTACCAGACCAGTTGACCACCTGCAATACACAGGAATACAGTAATGTATACGAATTCTAGTGTGTAAGTACTGTCACAGGTAGTATGGAAGAAGTGTTCTTTAGTGATTGTATTATACTTGTGCAAAGTTTTTCCTCGTTCCAATATCGTATGGAAATACGAATGGTTCATCATATTTTCCTCTTCTTCTATGTGCCTACAAACAAGATTAGCTACAATTCACCACTGATTTCTATAGTTTTATATACCTTGTCAACAATCCAGTCTTCTATCTGAGTTTGGTTGTGAAGAATGCTCTTTAGCTATATTATTATAAACCACAATTGAAACACAATGCTATAGCATAATATAGACCTAGTAATATGGAAAGTATTATACCTGAACTAGGAAAAGTATGAAGACACCAATGATGGTACCAATAGCCAGACCGACTGTACCAACCACGTAGATGAGCCAAAATGTATTGATTTTGAGGTAGGGCCGAGTGTAGAGAAATTCCTATACAAAGAACAGGTATTTAGGGTATTAATTAAAAACGGCAAATACACACTCACGTAATTGATAAATCTATAGAGAAAGTTGACGTTGAGAATGACTCCGTGTAGACAGCCAAACGGGACGAAGAAGAGGAACTTGAGAAAGGCTGCATGGTTAGAGTGACCGACGCAGTGGTTTATCCAGGGACAGTGGTGATCCATCTTCTTTATACACCTGCAACCACCGGTTTAATTTCAGCATAATCGCATATCAGCATATTGTACCCTACCAGTATGCATTACTATAGAGCTTCAACCACAGGCATATTGTGCACCCTACCAAGTATATACCCAATTACTGTCAGTGGTCTACCAGTATGCAGTACTGTGTCAATGATCTTCAGTACAGTATGTTATGAGGCTACCTGCCACATTGTCTGCAGTGGTGTGATCGTGGCGGCTTGAATCCACGACACACTTTACAGAACTGTAAACTCTTTTCATCTTCCGATTTCGCCTAAAAACGCACAAATACACACATTTGGGGGTTACAGTGAGTTCACCTCATATCTAAATTCTTTTACATCACGTTCATTACCAGCGTCTTTCGACGCTTTTTTGTATAAATTTCTAGCAGTCAATTTTTCGAAACTCACTGGTTTCCAGCCCATCGGAACGTAGCCAGGACCGGAATTCATGGCCGAGAAGAAATTTGTGAGGATGGGGACGAGCCAGAAGTACATGCACACGAAGTTCGGTAGGCGAAACGCTCTGCAGCAGCCGCGGCGGGGGGCGTAGAATTAAGAGATACCAGCACGAGATCGGACTTACCTGACTTGCGGAAGGGACCATAGCTGCAGAGCGGTGTAGGTCCCTGTGATTGACACCGAGATAACTATGAACAGGGCCGTGAGCGGGCCCCAGTGAATTACTCTGGGGAGAGACACCATCGATCGTCTACGTAGGAAACTCTAATTGAAGCCCATCCGCCCCCTCCAAGTCCACGCGCACACCTTTCACCCTTCCGCTGCGCGCATGCGCTTTTGTCCGTTGCTCAAAGACACGTGGAAAAATGATCAGACGGACAAAACAAGACACACAAATATAGGACAACTTCTCAATCTGCAAGCACAAAGTTGGTCTCGTGAAGTAGCTGGCTGCCGGCCTGCTGAATCTTTAGTGTGAGTGTTTTTGACTGTGAAGACTCCACCTGATCGAGACTGACAGGGAAAATGGCCCTTGCCTGACCCACCCTCTTGAGTCTCCAGAACTGTCCAAATTGGATCACCTGCAGCAGTTTTAAAAACGGGAATTTGTCAAACTATATAGCGTATCACAAGCATATACAAGTAGGGAAACGCAGTGAGTGGGGGGAACAGTTGTAAAACTATATCCCACACACACACATGGCCTAATATGGGAGAGGGGTTGACATGCAAAGCTGAGTATGGCCTTTGTAGGTGGCTGTATTAGCAAGTGTATACATGAAGCATGTGACAATTGATCTAAAGTGGCTGTAATTAGGAATCCCATTGTGTACAGAACCATTAGTCAGATTTGGTATACGATCCATACTTTCTCAAATACCTGAGTTGCCAGGGGCAGGCTGTTGCTCTCAGTACACAAGGAGAGCTCCATGTCCTTTCCTTCACCAAAACAGAGAACTGGAACACTGTGCTCTAGAGATGTGTAGCCTGCGTTCCGCTGAGTCAAATCAAGTGCCTGTAAACACATAAAGGCCGTAGTACATTAGGGTAGCTGCTGTACTATGTTAGGTTAGCTATCTCTCAAGGCTAAGGTATGTAGCTATTACTCAAGGCCAAGGGTAGCTATCACTAAAGGGTAATATGCTAAGGTATATAGCTATCACCAAGTAGCGTCGCTGGTGCTATATATATATATCTCTTGCACACCTGGATTTGGTCATGGATGGCATTGCTGAGGGTCACGAGAACCGACCACGCTTTCCCTCCTTCCTTTTTGCCAAAAATCGAGGCCACCATCCTCTTTGCTGAGTGTGATCCGTTTCTCATGGGACTGCCGCACAGTTTAAAGCATCCCATTTCACGAGTCCGCACCACGGCATAGTGCAGGTGCATCTGGTAGGTTGAGTTCTACAAGAAAAACATTTATAAACACCTTCCTATATGCTGGAAGTAGCTACATAGCTACACATTCAGTGAGAGTATATACTTACTTTGAAAAAGCGTTGGCTCTGCCGAGACTGTGGGATGATAAGACCACTGGAGTTCGAAAGCTCCAACCAATCGTCTGACTCGCAGTTCTGAGCTCGAGCCTGAAGGTGGAGGTGCCAGGAGTTATTGCGATAGGGCAGGCAGTGCGGCATCTTGATTTTGATTGGCTGCTCGAATTTGGCATCGCTGGGACCAATAAGGACCATCGTTGAGAGTTGTACGATGCGCTTTCTTCTCTCGCTCAGGAGATTTCCAACTTCGTCAACACTTGAATTTGAGTCAGAGAGTTCTTTTTGGGACAAATCCTGGAATGATATTTCCTTGTTTTCTTCAGAGGGATCGTATATCTTTTGGATAACTTCGAACCATAGCCTTTGCCTCTTTCCCGGAGGCACCGCGCCTTTTGGGACTTCTATTTCCACCTCACTTGTGAGATTTGTCAGCGTGCCACCTTTGGAATTGAACTCCCCTGTCCCTTGTGTAAAGTGATTTGTAGCTGTAGAGTGAAAGAAATTTATAAGTAAAATTTGTCTACTTTCTTTTCGAGTGTCTATGCATCACTTACAAACACTCAGGTTGGCCATGTCGCTTGCTGCATTCGTTCTCCTTCTGACCTTCACCCTCCGAAAAGGTTTCAATCCCACGCTTAAGCTGCGACTGTCCCTCATTTTCGTCCCTTCTTCTTCTTCTTCCCCTTCATTGTCCATCATGTGTTCCCTTCCATCCCAAGTATCAGGTGAAAGCTCTGCTCGTTCTGTCAGGAACCTCCCTCCCTTCTCTTTCAGCTCTGGTGCGTCGTCTATAATAATAACGGTGGAAGAACGAGGCTTCGGAGAGCCCAAAGCTTCATGCTCGGAAGTCTCTTCTTCTTGTGTCATTTTAACAATCATGCTCCTTTCAAACATTTCTTCTCCTTCGTTCTCTGGTTGGGTTCCATGACTGTTGTTCATGAACTGTACTACCTCTTTGACATCTTCCTCCGTTACCTGTACTGAATCTTCAAGCCTTTGACTGCTCCCGTCTTCCTTCTCATCTTCTTTGTTACTCTCTTCTGTCGCCTTCTTCACTAGTTTGATGTTCAACCTCTTCTCAATAGCAGCAATGAGGTCGTCCTCGCTACACATGCGATTCTGTAGCAAAGCGTCGACATCAAGAAGAATGTCGCCCAGGCTTCTCACAAGTGACTCGTCTTCCTTGGACGCTGGTTCTCTGGCTGCCGCCAACTGTTTTCTTCGGGCCTTTGGAGAGCCGTGCTCTTTCTCCAGCTTTTCTTCGATGGCTGATTTGTTTTGCATGATCATTGCGAGAGAGTTTCGGTCAATTCGATCCTGGAGCCTGGCTTTTCTGAGAGCCACCGAATCAGTCGAGTTCAAGCTCTCATACTTCTCTGCCCCTGATTCCACATGTCTAGCATCTGTTTTCTCTCTATTGGTGTCGCTGCTGACTTTTTTCTTTTTCATTGGCACTTTGGGTGGGTTGCTACTCAGTGCTTTCTCCTTGGCCTCCACTGAAATCTGGTATGGAAGTGGTGGGCTTGGGGGGAGCATTGTTTTCTTCCGCTCCATTAGATGAAGTGGCAATGCACTGCTTTTGTCTGGTTTGTAGTCTTCTTCGTTGGTTTTACCAGCAAGAAGCTCTTTTCTCAAGTTGCTTACAACTTCCTTTGGTGATTTCGGCCGAGTTGGTGGTGGAGAGATAGGTACTTCACTAGGCAAGTGGTCATAGGATGAGGCCTTGCGAACACTGGTAACTGGCACGAGGTAGGGGCTTGGGCGAGTGCGAGAGGGTTGATTTGCAAGTAGGCGCATTTGCTCTCGGAGTAGTGACTCTGTTTTGGGGGGTACTGTTGGGGGAGGGTTGGAGGCAAATCCTTTCTCCGTAATAGTTTCCATGAGGGACTTCTTTCCAGAGTGGTGTAAAGGTTTCGATGACGAAAGCAAAGGGACACGTGGAGTGAAGTATGCCTTGCTACCCTCACCCCTCTTCCTGTTCAGCCACTCAAACATCAACCCTGGAATAGCTGGATAGGAGTATTCGCCAGAGTTGGAAAGGCTGCGCTGACGAATTGTTTCCTCCGGTCTTCCAGGGACTGCTGGAGGTGGCCCCAGTTTCCTGGCGAATTTGGGTCCCGCACCAACTCCAAACCGGCTGACAGAAGGCAGACTGGCGGCTAACTCTTCTATTTCGTCCCCATCGATTTCTACGTACGGGCAGCTGGGGCGTCGGGGTACTGGAGGGGGAGGGGGTAAGTTGGTGAGAGAGCGCTTTTTTCTATCACCAACTCTAACTGGACCGCCAGCTGCATGTATATTGATCCACCCTTCAGCTGCCTTGGGGAGAGCACCTTTACCCTTCTGCTGATTGAACTTGCTCTCGTCGATTTCAATGTACTCGTGATGCCAGACTTTCCTTGTGGTAGGCACATGACCGAGTGGGTAATTCACAGTCTTGTAGTAAACTGCATCTTGTGCCGGAGTTGGTGGAAGTGGTCGGTGAACGTAGCTGAGCATCTCTTTGGCAAAAATGGATCCCTGTGAGCGCTGCCTCCTGACGGCAGGATGTAGGTTATTGTCGTCTGTATCGCCCTCTGACTGGCCTTCCACTTTCACCATTGAGTACGGAATTTTGCGAGTTTCCAGCAACGACGCCCGGTGAATTACTGGCAGATGTTCCGACACTGATTTTGGGGTATTTTAGCTTCCTCTTTCTATTGGCCTCAACAACTGGGGCACTGCTGAGGGTGTGCACTGGTGATGGCTTGGATTCGGCATTCGACTGCCCATCATACTCTCCTTGTGTAGGCTCATCTTCTGTAGGATCGCCAGGCACATCAAGTTCAATATAAAAGTGTCTTGCGGGAGTGAGAGGTTCGGCTTTCGGGCTTTCTTCTGGAGGTCGAAACATGGGGGAGGGTAGTATCTTCAGGTAGTATGTACTTGAGCGTGGGTTCATCCCTGGGGGTGGCTGGGGGACTGTTAGAGATGATGTTATTGCTGCTGCTGCATTTGAATCACCTTGCGTTGGAAGGGAGTATTATTCGTGCAAGTTGTACGCTGCATTGGGACGTATTCGTCTTGGTCGAAGTGATCGCTTGCACTGCAAACTCCCTTTCGTAGCTCTCGCTTCTCTTTTGGGGTGTTTCGTCGGTGGATGTTTGGCCCATTTGGATTATGACTCTGCGTCTGCTTCAAAGCTTTTTTAACGGGAACAAATGGTGGCGGAGGTAAGACAGGCAGCTTTCTTTCTGCCAGCCTACCCCTCTCTCCATTGTCAACTTGGCTCTCATCTGTTTGTTCATTGGTGTCTGACTCGGAAAGTCCTTCAGTCATTTCAATTTCCCTCTCTATCAATTCTTCAAAGTTATCCCTCCATTCTGGATCAAGTGACCCAAACACAACCATGCCAGGTGAAGCCGGACCCTCTCTTGCGTCGTGCGACTCCGCTTTGGCTACTTTTCCACTTGGAATAGCCATTTGAATGTACTCACTGTTTCGATTGGTGAGGGAGGATTGTGGGCTAGGGAATGAGATTGAAATGTCCGAATCAGATGTAGCAAGATGGCGCTCCTTTACCCTTGGTATTTCCACCCCCTTCTCCTTGCTCTGCGTGCGAGGCAGGGGCACAGGTTTCTTCTCCTTGTGGCTGCCTTCTCTGGACGATGGTGAGCCAGGAACCTCGCCCACAAGAGTTGCAGTTTCAACAAGTACATTCTTGTAATTTGGACTTTTGGGACTTGCAACAGAGGGCTCACTTGCTCTCCTTGGGGAACCGGTTTTGTCAAAGACGGCAAAAGCTTCGTCGTCAAACACGTTCTGGTATCTTTTGTTTACGGGGTCGACTTTTGGATCTGGACTCGGGTTGTACCACGAAAGCAGGGATATGTGGGTGGGACTTCCCGGTGATGCTAAGCTGTCAAAGTCGTGCAAGACTTCATACTTATCGTCTGGATTGTTGCTTACTGATCGAATCGGAGGCAAATTATACTTCTTCTGCCTTTCACCTTCGAATTCTTCTTCGCACGTTTCTGGAATGTTGTTCACTTTGTTTAATCCCTTTTTAAAGATCTGTCTATGTCGTGGCATCTTTGGACTCTGTTTTGGTGAAGGAAGCTGTGTGTTAAGACCTTCTTTACTTCGTGAGCTGAAATATCGTGCCAGTAATTTCACACCACCTTCCGTTGATGCTGTAAGTGGTGATTCCTCATCATTTGAGGTTTGTGGGGTAGTTCCTGGCTTTCTTGGTGGCTGAGGCTTTTGAACCTGTTTGATATCCATCAGTACATTTTCTGCACTCTCAGATCTCAATCTGCCAGGGCTCTCCGCAGAAGCTTTGTAACTCTGCTCTGTTTCAGCAGTTTTCTGTAGATCGCCTGGGGCTGAGCGGGTAGACGATTGAACATGCTCCTGAATTGCTGCGGAGATCACTGTCGCTGCTCTTGCTTTGGCAGGAGACGGAGGGGGCAGCTTTGGAGGTGGGGCTCTCCTCTGCTTTCCATTTTCCTCCGCTCTGTTCTTGTCCGTGTCCGCCACTAGTTTTACTGGAGAGCCTTGTGGAGAGAGAAGTCCGCCTTGGCCTTTTGCTGGGGTGATCACATTGATGGCCCCTGCTGAAGCTGATTTTACAAGCTCCCTTCCTTTTGGGCTGCTGCTGTGTGTACCGGGGGCCGCTGTGTGGAGAATAGGTGGTGGATTAGATGGAGGTGGCGGCAACGGGGGTGACGACTTTGGACTTCGAGTAGGACTCTTGCTAATGTTCCTAGACGTGACTTCTCGAGTGTCGTGTATGTTTGGAAGTGAAACGTGCCACTTTGTGTTTCTCGGGACCAGTTCCTGCGCTGATGCGTAAATTTTCATTTTCTCTTTCTCCGATCTGCTCTTTCCAACTTGCCTCATTTGTTTGGCCGGACTCGTAGAATAAACCTTTTCATCTTCGGTCATGTGTACAGGGCTCTTGGAAGGAGAAACGTTCCCCTTTTTCCCTGTGTAAAACCATCCATGGCCTTTGGGGCTGGTAGGATTAGCAGAGATCCGAGCGCTAGCAGCCATAACATCAGCAATACCTGTGATTGAAAATTTGACAGTACAGCAACATGTGATATGCAGGATATGGGCATGTGTATAATGACACATGGCCTCTGTGTGTGGATCTTATTATACACCTGGTCTGGGGAATAGACTCACACACCTCCTAGCAACTCTAATCTCCCCACCTACATGTACAGGAAGTAAGTATGGTTTATATTACTACCATCTGACGGTTGCTGTCAGCATACATGAAGCCCTTTCACGATACTATGGGGGTGAGGTGCATGCTATCCAGTATCCCTAGCTAGGCGCATTTGTGCACTACTTTTGTTGATAAACCTGTATATGGGTAAGATCCTTGTTCCCTCACTAATCTGTTGATTATCCACACTGCCTTTGGAGTAGTAGTCATATTATAATATGTGATGTGGAGCACCTTAGTCTGTGCTACTCTGAAAGCCAGACTTATGCAGAGTCATCCCCTTTTGGGAAGCACAATGGTAAAAGAAGTTGCTGAGTTCTGTTACGCTTCATCTATCAGTGTATAAATTCTCAGGATGCCTGAACCGGTGCTAAGAATCTAGGCTGATGCTACTTGCAGCGTCAGACTGGGCCTGTGTATCAGTTATCACTTGCTTTCATATGCAACCATAAACTAAGCAGCCGTCCAAAGATTAAGATCCACACAAGAAGTCATTCCGTGCCTGCAAAAGCTACGTAGGCACTTATGTAGGTGTTTTGCAGACATATTATGCTCTTAGACAAAGTCAACAGGTCCTTTGTGCAGACAGCAGCCCTATGTGTGTGGGGAGTAGGTGGTCGGGGGAGACTAAAATGGCAGAACTTTCTCAGTTGTATGACAATAATGCCCCAATGGAATGCTTCACCAAAGAGCCAGCTATCAATGAAGCTCTAATAGAGCTCATGTCTGCATCAGCACCTAGCATTAGTGATAAACTCCGAGAAAAAATAGTTAACAAAGGCTAGAAGGAATGTGAAGCAGAGTAGTGTGTTTTGCTGACATGGACACTCAGCACTCAACCAACGAGGCATTAAATCAAGTTTGTCCATACATTAAAATACCATCCTTGTAACCTTCTTTATAAGTAGAGGCATTTATTGCCGGTCTCAAGAGGCACTATGGATCATTAAATCCAATACGATTCCAATAGTGCGAATGGTATGGAATTTTCGTCATGTGAGAGATCACTTCCGACCGTGCCATATCTAGAACTCTCACTACCATACTACTGTGAGTATGGAGAGTTGTTCTATATAGGTTATTACAAACGCTCCGTAAACTCAGCCTCCAAGTGCCATATATGGAACAGTCACGTATTCAAGCTACAATTACAATGCAAATTTAAGAGTTGTTTTTAAAAGAGATTTTCGTTGTTTATTTTGTTTCTGCAATGGCAACTATACTACTACATGATATGTTTTTCTAGTCTTTGAGTGGGAGGTTATTACTCCAAACTTTACTCACAAATCCGTACAAATGTTCCTTTGGGGGACTAATAGACGATGTGTGTATCAGCACTAAATATTGGATGGCGACAGTAATGGATATAGACAGACGCAAACCTTCCTTTACGAGACATGGCAATCGCAAGCTTCTAAGGCAGCTAAAACAAAGACCTGTGTGATTGCTGATTTAGTCGCTGTCACGTCCCTTGCTTGATCTAAACATACAGTACTACAACTGTGATATCTAAGGCCGATGCATGTTGTGTCTGGAATGACATTAACGGACATGTATGCACACTGCATGCATTAAGAAGCCACCTGTTATATCACACACAGATGCGAAAATCCCAGCATACAACGCAACGATACTGTACTAATAGAAACCCTGAATCGACTACTAATTTTATCATGAACAGTATAGCAAAGACACCTTGTAGTTATAAAGTAAGTAAAAAGGTTCAAAATACTTCACATTATAGATAGCTAACTTGTACATCAATAACAACAACACGTGCAAAGGCCATGGACAGGATCAAATCGTCTGTGAGGTGAAATTCCTACATTTTCACTTTTCACCCATCGTGTTAACAAGACGTGAGGGGCTGTCGATTCTACCAACACTCCGACGTGACCCACGTGCAGCGGCGAGAATATGACAGAAAATCAACGTCTGTAGCTACACCGTTACGCAGCTGACCTGAATTTGAAGATTGCAGACGTACGGCCACGGAAGACACACATGTAGATAACGATGCTTCTCCAGTCGCGCGCGCGAGCGTTTTATAAGCTTTCGCTGCTAAATTTGGTTAAGAATGTGTAGCAAGTGTGGATATGCGCAGACGAAGTTTCTTTGCGCATGAAAGCGGGAAAACGAAATTCAAACACCCACTGCGCAGCTTCCTCATCTCTGCGCACGGCATTGTGCGCATGCGTAAAACGCGCGTGAAGGCCCGACGACTCGACGAGCCGTGATATAAAAACGCACTACGAGCCAACACATCAGTGATTTCCTTGCCTGAGTTAGTCGTCGTCGTGGTGATAATAAACGGTGATGAGCGGCAGCAGTAGCGCACTCGTAACCATTAGCCCTGAGTCCCAGGTTATCGTGTTCTCTGGTAACCTACTGAAAGCACCGCCGCTGAATCGGAGAGGGAGAAAGGTATGTAGCTATGCATGTACATTACATCCACATTGAAACTGATTAACTGTTAGTTGCTCCGCGTGTGTAATGTGTATATAAGAGCCCATGCCTAGCTACCTTTGTTGCAAGTTATTCAAGTTTTTTTGCTAGAGAATTGATGGACCATGCTTACGTATAATGTATATAGGAACCAATATTGAGTTATTCGTGAAAGCAATTCCTTACTGAGAAAAGCTGCATGCATGAACAATAGCATTCTTGGCCGTCGATGTGACTCTCCTTGTTGCCTTATGACACAAACACACCAGTGCTGCCAAACCCAACCAGGACTCTGATTGGGTTAACACTGAGACCCTTATATACACAGTCTGATGCATTTCCTGTTTACTGTGCCCCAACAATGAACGTATGCAACTCAATATTGTGTGTGCAGAAATGGCACGAGCGGTATTTTCTCCTGCGTGCCAACAAGACGATTGAGATTCACAAGTCTCGAAGGGCAGCCGAGGCGCAGAAGACACCACGGAGAGTGATAGACCTCCGAGAGTGCATCAGTCTGGAGCTGGGTCTGGAGTACAAGAACCTCCAGCACATCCTGAGTCTCGGGACTTTCAAACGGACCTTCTTCCTGGGTGCTCCGAGTGATGCTCTCATGCTCCAGTGGGGAAACGTCCTGGAGAAAGTAAAAGGCGCCGTCAGTGGTAAGATATACTTCGCACCTGGTTCCACCCAAACACGACAGGTTGTTTTCACACAAATTGGAGTTTAGAACATCTCCTTGCCGGTACATCTAGAAATATTTAACACCACCTAAGCATCAAAAGAAAAAGTCTGGTTAAAGAGCGGTAAAAGGTATGGAGCACTTTCTGGTAGTACAAATGGTTCCCACAAGGGAGTGTGCTATGGGTCTGAAAGAACCAGTGCTGTGAACACTTCCTTTTGAGTGCCTCCAATCTGCATGAGAGGCAGGGTGAATACAGAGTCCTTGCCAGTTATGACTGGAGCATGTACCCACCTTTGGCTCAGCGACTGTGCACGGCACAGAGTAATAGGCCGTATTCAGTGTCCTTTTCAAGCCAGTAGTATTAACACCTCTCAGTAGCTTAGATCAGATCTCGGGCAGCTTGTGAGTTAAAATCCACCAGTAAACAGATGCCTACAAGTATGCCCTCGTGCGTTAATGCATCTACAATCTTCTTCTAGCATGCATACTGTCCCTTTGTGATACGAGCATGGCTGTTTGCCAACTAAATCAGTAGCTGTATGTACCCCTTTGAATAAGAACACAACATGTTACATGGGGGCGAGAGTAGCTCTGTGTTGCAGAACACCTTCTCCATATTTAGTTACAGTGTGGCAAGCCCCAAGTCAGATTATGAGGCCTGGAGACTGGCACCCACTGACATGCATCAGGATGTGAAAGCCTTACATCATGTTAGAATCACACTGTGCTTCCTTCCCCAAGCATCCAAGCATAACTCAGATTGTATACTAGACACCTTTGGGTACCAGTTAGTTTGAAACCTTTTCTATTTCCTTGAGAACTAGTGTACTTTGTATTATGGTGAGACACTTTCATGTAGGCTCTACACGTGCACATCCATGGTCTTCAAGATCTCACTTGCAATATAGAGTTGTGTAGGTGGAAACATTAAATAACCCTATGAAAGTACCATACATAGCTGTTTGTGTTCTTGGTCTTAATATGTCCACCCGCCAATTCAAAGGAAGCGACTAAGTCCCATCTTTGTGTTGTACAACACACTCACTCTCTGTGACACCTCCACAGCCTATATGAGAGATTGTTAGTAACACACACATTTCCCCACCCAACTCCTTAACAGTAAGTACATTGGCCACCCAACAGAGTAGTGTGCATGAAGTCACTGACACAACCTGCCTATTTTTATACTCATGTGATCAACCCACAGCTGAAATCAGAGAAATTAGAACACTCATTCCCTAAAGTCCTTAATAGCTCGCTCCACCATTGCCCCAACAGAACATCCATGAAGGTATTAGACCATGTGATGCCATGGTTTATTAAACTCGATCCATTTCATTATCACTCGGCACAGAGAATATGAAATACACACCTATTTCCCTAAAGTCTTTAAGGAAGCTCCACCTGTTTCCAAAGAGGACGTACATTATGTCATCGACATAGCTCTTTCTCAGAGGTAAATCCCAGAACCTCTGATGTTGCCAATCAAGACTAGGACATCTGCCATTGAAACTAAACAAGACAGTGTACAGAGAAACGTACAAACCTAAACACGTGTTGCATAGCAGACTGTTCATTACTTTCCCTTTGCCAAATATTTGAATCATCACTTTATGCCACCACATGTACCCATGCATTACGAGAGCAAATAGCTCCCAACCACCGCCCTAAGCCCATGTAGGGCTTTATAGAGACGGGAAAAGGTTAGGCAACTTCAAAGCATGAAAGTGTAATCTTGGGCAAGGTCAGTGCATGTCTTCCCCAGGAGGCAGTCCAAGAAATGTCATGAAGTATGTCTGATTCCCAGTGTATTGATTATTATAGCATTTGTGGCCACAGTTCCTGTGTGAACATCTCATGTGTATGGAGTTCATACAAAAAAACTTGGCTACAAGTCCCGTATATAAAACGGAATTAACTACGTGTACACTTACTTATTGTGGTATAGTACTCGATATAAATGTTGTATCACAAGACTTTTTGTTGTTGTAGGTGAAACGATTGAAGTGTTAGACATAGGTCTGAGAAACACGCGCAACTACAATGCCGTTCACCGGGTCAAGCCTTCCGAGCCAAGTCGCTCACTGTCGTCTGCCCCGACATCTCCAAGAAAGATATGGGGTCGTCTCTACCAAAGGGGGGCTTCGAAAAGCTCGTACGCAATTTCACACATGGGCAAAGACACGCAGAATGGTGCGTATGGAAACAGAGGGTCAGGTAACGTTGGCTACACTTCTTACTACACCAGCCCCAACAATAGATCAAGTTCGCTGTCAAACCAAGAGGCCTACAGTCCCAACCACACACAGCAAGTGTTGGCCTACGGTCATCCAAAGATGGCAGATACCAGTGTGGAGACGGTGGACCTCAGAGAGAGGGCAGGGAGGCTGAGTCGTGCCAGCAGCAACACAAGTAGTAGTGGGCCTAGTCCAATGCACCCGCCGCTTTCGGGTGCAAAGATCCCGCCACCAAACATCATGCTGGGCAGGTGGAGAGGACCATCAAATGAAGGCTCCCCGAAGCACGGAGAAGATGTTGAGTTGTGCGAGGAAGAGGACGGACAGGGGTGGAGAAGGTTGAATGGAGGGGAGCACGGTGCAAGAGGGGACGCCATGCTGCATCGCTCCGAGGCATTTCGCTCCCTGGGCTCCAAACAGGCAACGAATGGGGACATGGGAGGGGTGTGGAGAGGGAGAAGAAGGAGCGAAGACAGTATGAGCCACAGAAGAGTCCAGAATGACGGTTCTGGTAGCCCTCTCCCATCTATACCACTGAAGCAGTCGCGTCACTACCGAAAAATCGAGCTTCAAGCGGAAAAACCCCTCTTTGGGATGAGGGAAGACGACGAAGGGAGTTCAGATGAAGAAATCGACTCAGTTGTCAGTGAAACAACCGGAAGAAACAACACTGGTGTGGTTCCCGTGACTGCATTTCCAGGGAAACCCTACCACATGCTCGGCAAAGATCACTATAACCAAACTCCTCTCTCCGTCCCAGCTAGGCTGGAGCCACACGGACGTCGACGTAACTACAGCGGACCACCAATCTCGGGCAGGAGAAGTGGAGGCTACGGATATCCCTCGGGAAGAAACCGAGACCGACTGGAGTTTGGAGGAAGGGGTTACTTTGGTGGGTCGGGTGGAAACGGCTGGGTCGGAAGTGAGTCTAGACATGGAAACACCAGTCCTTTCGATGACGATGGAACGGAACTGCCTCCTCGTCCAAATTTCATGAACAGGCCTCGTCCGCAGGCAAGAGAGGTTTCCACACACAAGTTCTATTCCTTGGAAAGCCTCCAGAGAAGTCTGCAGGAAGAAAAGGCCAACAACTACTGCCAGGTGACTGTGGGAGCCAGGAATGATGACTCTGTTTCTGACATCACTTCCAGCCGAACTGGCATTTCCAACGCAAAACTCGAAAACATCCTCGGCAGATCTTCGACCAGCTCACTAGACTACGACCTCCATCTCCCCTCTCCTAATGCGAGCAGCCTCTGTGAAGAAGAAGAAGACAAAGGGGACATCTGTTTGTCTCCTCCACTGTCTCCACTTCTTGATGAACCAACTGCATTGTTTTATCTGCCAGCTCGAGGCTCAGAGTCGTACCTCTACCGTTCCTCTGGGAGCATGAGGTCTCCTGTCGATGATATCCTTGCCCCTCCACTCAGCTTTGAGGAAATTCACGCAACTCCACAGAGCAGTGTTTTGAACGAGACTATTTCAGAGGAAGGGGAGCCGCCGACAAGCGAAGCAGGGAGGGAGTTGCAGAGATCAAAGTCGTCCACTGCGGCCAGTGATCGACACAGCACTGAGTCGGGCTACACCAGCGGGCAAGGACAGAGCCCAGGAGTTAACGACAGAAGGAATCTCAGTACCGTCGAAGAATTCATACCAGCCTCAAAGTGCGAAACTTCTGAAACTCACCCCCAAGGCCCAAACGTGGAAAACGAAAGCAACTCGGGGGAATCGACGCAAGACGTTCTCTCAGACTCGAGCGTCAGTTCTATTCGAAACAGTCAGTCTGGGTACAGCATCCATAACAGTCAGACGTCCCATGCCAGCACCGACAGCATCCGCTGTTATGTGCCTCTGCTGTTCCAGAAGAGAGGGAAGGCACAGGCAGAGGGCTCTTCTTCCCTGTTCATAGTCGTCTGTCTCGTTGAGAATTCAGAGACCTTGATCAAGGTGAGTATAGAGAGATCACTGAGAACTCCGCCACATTGCAGAGAAGTGTGACCATGCTCACAGGTTTTGACTAAAATCATTTGTAAAATGGCCTAAAATGGTTGACAGTGTACTTGATGTGTTTTCAAACATTGTAGCAGCACTGCATGTGTGCAATTGAACCCCTTTGTTCTGTTGGAGGACCTCGTGCTATAATATCCAATGGTTTTGTCTGGAACTAGGCATAAGTAGACAGTATAAGCATTGCTGAATATGTTGCTATCCAACAGTTTACTCGAGCAATGCCTCACTTGGAGGTCATATCTATCCGTGTTGGTTGATTCCTCCAACTTGCCGAGTTATGAATGCCTGTTGCTACAGCTCTGCACATATATGTGCTTTGTGGTTTGGCAACTTATGTGGTCTCAGCAACCACCCACTTCTGTGTTTATACCGTAACATTGAGCAGTGGTAATAGTTACGGTATCTAAGTACTAAACATGTGGGTGGACACTACACCTCAACTAGTTTAGTGTGTCTGGTTGGGAAATCCTAACTCAAATTAACCCTGTTTACTTCCTCTTCCCCTGTCCCACGCTTCTTGCAAATAGGAATTGTTGTCGCAGAAGGTGGGAGGTGGCTACCAGGCCGTAGAGTGTGAGGGAGAAGTGGGGAGGAACGTGGTGAATGCTGGAGACGACTTCACGGTTGAGACGGCTCTAGAGGATCTGGAGTTTGGTTTCTCAATCACTACCAGCAAGCAAAAGGTTAGCACTCACATTTCTCCAAAAAAAAAGAAAAAAATTAGGGTCAGCCAAGAAACAACTCTTATCAGGGCCTCAGGGTATTTGGATGCTCCCTAAAGAAACTTAGGCCATTTCAAACCTCTGACTATACTCTAGATAGTTGCAAACATTTTTGGCAGCTCATGAAATGACACAAGCACTCCAACAACAGGACGTGTACATCAACCGAGCCAAGGTCCGAGAATTCCAGTTCCAGATAGACAACCTCTTTGGCTGCTTTGGCAAGCCATTCTCCTGCGATGTTGAAATACGTCATGCTGACCAGCTCACTGTGCTCCCCATCGAAATTGAGGTATTACGCTCATTATTTGCCATGTGTCCACTTAAATACTTCATTTCCTACCCTACAGTGTGCTGATTGACATTTTTCAGAGAAATGTAAGTCACTGTGTTTCGGCTGCTCAGAAAACAACTATATTGTGTATTGTTTCTCAAAATTCTGTGTATTCGTTATATCACTTTATAAATTCTTGTGTATTGTTTCTCAAAATAATATGCATATTCGTTATATCACTATAAATATTTGTTCATTAAAATGCACTGAAGAGTCTGGTCACAACACACATGTGTGTCCGATACATCGACAGCAGAGTAGCCCATCTTCTCATAGAATCCCTTGGCATTGAGAGACGACTTCACATGAACCGTAGTGTGGCCACCCTCCCTTGCCTGCTGTTCCATGTGCAGCAATAAGGAGCGGCCCACACCTTTCCTTGCCCACCGAGGAGAAACAAACAAACCCTTGATTTCACACGTACTGCCACTTTTGCACCCTTGTATCAAGTGCCCGAACCCCACAACTTCCTCTTGAGCGCTAACGGCCAGTGTAATCTCTCTGGCCTCGATGAAGGAGAGTATTGAGACGGGGTTTGCCTAGCAGCCCACTGTCTCACAGACTCTTCACTGTAGGAGGTGCTGCACAGTTCGAGTATAGCTGAAGTGTGGATTGCATAGATTCTGTCTCTGTCACCCACCTCTGCCTGCCTAAGGTTGAACATTGCCTAGCTAGCTACACGTGCATTTGTTGCGCGAGCAAGCGCACAAATTCCTCTAGACCAAAAGAAGAGGAAGTTGCATAACAATTAAAATCACGTGATGTGTTTCTATGGATACCAAACAGTCAGGCAGCTCTAGCTCTGTGCGCAAAGAAGAACCGGCGCGCACACTGACTACTGACCGATCCCGAGTTCCCGGCAGTTCTTTTCGGATTTGAAGATGGTAAACCGAATAAGCAATTGAGATTGCCGGTGAATAAACCAATGTGCCTATGCTATTGTTCATATATAGGCTACAGCGGTGCTAGCTCAGTCTCCCCTGCAGCCGTCCATTGGCTCACAAGTGGAGGAGAGACTGCGTCGCTCGTCACAGACTGGCAGAATTCGTTTCTCTGAGTTTTTCAAAGATTATGACCCTCTAAAATCTGGTGTCATTACAAGTATGGATTTGCAGCTGGCTTGCAGTTTTCCCAAGTATTGTTTGTTCAGAAATGCAGTTCTGTCGGTGTTTGGACCAGCACCTGAGTCTGAGACTGAGTGAAGCTGACTATGATTTTCTCGTGGGCAAATACGGAAACAGAGCGAAAGGCACTGTCAACTACCGTGCCTTCTGTAAGGCAATGGAGAATGGTTAGTTTGCAAAGTCACAATGTGAGGTGTGAAAAGTGCAAAGTCAGCTTTTTACTTTACTTTCTACAGCATTTGATCCAACCATACTTGATGGAAAGCCTGAAAAGCAGATTGAGACGTTTCAGATGTAAGGGCCTGTTGTCTATATCCCATTCTGATTAAATTGTATAATGTATATATAGGTCTGCTATGCCTGCTGCGCCTCAGAACCTCCCTACCGGCACATTTGAGATTACCAACAAACTCCTTGAAAATGCTACGAGTACTACAAGGTAAAAAGCTCTACCGGTGAATCCAATATTTGAATGAAGCACTTTATCTTTCCACTATTGCAGTATCATGGCATCAATGTGAAGAGCTGCTATTGTGATTTCGACCGGCACCATCATGGACTGGTCACACAGAGCCAGGTGAGAGCACTCTTCCAATCAGCAATGATGTTTACGTGTAGCTCTGATGCTGGGCTAATGTTAGCTATAAACGGAACAAAATGTTTCGAGTTGTCTTTTTTGTAGTTCGACGTGTCTTGTTTTTTGCAGTTTCATCGCAGTTTCCCCGGGCCTCCAGATGTGACCTCGGCCGAGGTGGACACGTTGGCACACAGATACTTTGACCCCACTACTGGCCTCTACAACTACCTCCAGTTTCATAATGACATCCTAACTATAGGGGCAGGGGGGACGACAGCAACCGTGACACTAACTCCTCAACTACCTTCCATCCCCGTGAGCTGATATAAAGACATGTGCATATGATAGTATGTAGCATGACATATTACATACACAGAAGGCCCGTGTTTGCAACCTCGACGAGATATTTGGGAGAATCAGAGATGCAGTCTACAAGAATGGAATACGTACCACCGAGTTTTTCAGAGATCACGATAAGCTTCGCAGTGGCGTCATTACAGAAAACCAGGTATTATGTATACCATGATGCACGCATACAAAGGCAGGGCCACACAGAATGAAGAAAACAAGTATTGCTGACTTGCTCTCCATGTACTATTACAGTTTATCTGTGGGTTGTCGCTGTGTTGTGGTCGCACTGCACATCTTTCAAGAGACGACATCCAGGCAGTAGTCAACCATCATCGTAATCCCGTAAGTGGATGTCTGTACTGTGTATCCGTGTGTGTATGTGTGTGTGTGTGTGTATAAAGGCAAACAAAGAGTTGGATTGTGTATGTTAGTTTTTCACTGTGTCTGTACAATACAGGATGGGCGCGTTCGCTACAAGGACTTTTGCGATCTGATGGAGAATGCCTACAATGAGCCGGACCTTGAGAGAAAGCCAACCACCACTGTTTACAGACCGCTCAGAGGACACCTTTCCAGGGTATGCACATTGGCCACGTGAAATATTGTCCAATGTTGGTGTCCGCTGAGGTAGGTCAGTCAGAACCGAGTGCACACCAGCAGACAACAAACAACATTTACCAATGATTGATACTGTATCACTGTATTCAGCTCATTCACTGCATCTTACCTGTTACTTTAATGAACACATGCAGTATAGCTCCGTTTTCTGCTGCAATGCAGAGACTGCATGTCCTGGCCAGTGAGGAGGACGAGAGGAGAGTACAGGGGATTTTGGCCAGACTCAAGGTTGAAGTCAGTCGCAGGAGACTCCTTCTCTATCCATACTTCAGGGACTTTGACAGGGTCAGACAAAGTCACCCATGCCTTTAGAGCCTCCATTAAAAATGCCTCTGGAATTTATATATATAGGGAAAGGGGTATACTCGTGGTGTGACTAAGCCACAGTTTGAGCGACTATTGGGCTTTCTCTCACTTAGCCTCACACCAGATGAACTGAAGGTCTGTGTGTTCTTAGTAAATTTGATACTAATTGTGACATGATTGAATACGATGCTAATTCTGATGTGTTTGTTTTTCTAACGTGATACTAATTGAGGACATGACTCCCTGTTGTATGTAGTTGGTGGTGCGGAAGTTTGAAGATCAAGCGGGTGGCGACGTGAACTATCCAGCATTCATACAGGCCATTGATGAGGAGTACACAGGCCAAACTAAGCAGACTGAGCCCGAGGAGTGAGTAATGGGCACGAGGACATGTCAAAACATAGTGCTGAAGGAAAGAGTGTAGCCCTGAGGATGTGCTACACCACCCTATCTGCATCCATGGCATCATCTGAGACTGCCAGTATAATTATACTTGTGGTTCTGAACTAATGAGATCCACGCTGCTACCTAACTTGCCCTGTCATAACAGTGGGAATAAGGTCCTCCCCTGTCACAGGCCCTCTGCAGCGGTTGGCTCATCTGCTACCCCTTCTCCTGAGCCAGTGGACCTCCCTCTCCTCCTCTCTCGTCTCAGAGATTACGTGAGAGTCAATCGGATCAGAGGCTCAGAGTTTTTCCAGGACTCTGACCCACTGCGAAGTGGCTCAATCGCTGCCTCGCGCTTCAGACAAGTGAGCGAGCAACAGCATACGTAATGTGCAGCATGCAATGATAGGCATGTTCATGCAACTTCTTTTGTTAGGGTCTTAGTAGCTTAGGTCAGCCTTCACTGACTGATGGACAGTTCTCGGGGCTGTGTAGTCGCTATGCTGATCCGAAACACAAAGGCAACGTCCTCTGGAAGAAATTCATCTCTGACATTGAGCAAGGTGGGCATCGAAAACCCTGTATGATTATTGTGTAGCATGTGGGGTTGCATACTACACAGTGCCCACAGATGAAGTCCCATTACCTCATCCAGGAGCAGTAGACTTTTCTACCACCATAGGTAAGCTTACACACACTACTGTATGCAACTTGAACTTGTGTGTGTATTGTGTAGGAGAAGGTGAGGGTGAGGTATTGGAGAAGGCACTACACAGGATGAGCGAGAGAGTCCAACAGAGGAGGGTGCTCACCAAACCTTGCTTCCAGGACTTTGACAAGTCTGTGACATTAATTGTATATACTCCCCAATTATGATTTGATATTATGTGTCCACTGTAGGCACCACAATGGATATGTGACATGCAGTCAGTTTAGACAGTGTCTTTCCTATCTTGGACTGACTGGCAGTGACCAGGAGATACAACATATGGAAAAGAGGTGACTAACCATGTGTTATAAACACATCTAGATGATTTTTCAATGGAGAATACCCATGGTGCTCGGTCACCCACGCACGTTATAAGGTCCCCAGATGTTTTTATAGCGCTGACCACTTCACCTATAGGTATGGAGACAGTAAGGGGGTAAACTACCTTCAATTCTTGGAGCATCTACAGCCGACAGAGAGACTGGAAGACAAGTACCAGACCAGAATGGCCCAGCTCTCTACCAGACACACACTAGTGAATACGTATACACGTTGGCATACAGAGTGGCAAGAGTTTTATGTTAATTGCATCTTGCAATTTTACTGTTTTTGTGCTAAATGCTCTTTTGCACTATCTTCACGTAGACAACATCTGGTGCTGCTGTTGTTGTGAAGGTCGATGCTGAATCTGTCCTGGAAAAAATCAAGACAAAAGTAAATAAACAAATTACAATAGGAAAACCACATTTATATGAACCATAATTATTCATGAGCTCATAATATTATCTGCTCCATTTGTCAGGTAATGAAGGAACGAGTGCGTGTGCTGGAGTTCATGAGGGACTATGACAAACTTCGCTCTGGTCGTATCCCTGCAACCTCCTTCCGTCGAGCTCTGGACTTGTGCGGCTTCAGCCTCGGACAAGAAGAAGTGACTGCCCTCGAGAAAATGTCTGTTACATGTGGGCACGAGCTGCTCTATAACACAATTTGTTCACACATCTACATGTGTACGCTGCAGAGAGTGATTATCAGCAAAACTGTTTGCCAACTTTTTCAGGTATCAGTCACCCAAAGACCCTAGCCAAGTGGAGTACATGAGGTTCTCTGACGAGATAGAGTCGGTCTTCACCAGGAAGGACCTGGAGAAGACGCCCACTGCAGAGGTGGTTCAGTTTGTGCCGCCAGTCGGGGTCAACATGTATGTTCTGAGTCCAGAGGAAGAGCAGACACTGCAGAAGACCATGCACAGACTGGCAGAGAGGGTATGAGGAACTATACATACCTATATAAGATGGACAATGACCAGTGCTTCAATTGAGCTATTGCTTTAATCCTAGTGAGCTTGCTTGAAGAGTGTACTATTGAACAAGGCCCCTAAATGAACGTTGTACATTATGGCCAACAACAATGTTACACAGTTAGTGCAATGATTTGTCTACCAAACTGCAGGTACGTGTACGTCGTATTCAGATATTCCCTCTCTTTGAAGACTACGACAGAGTCCACATTGGCAGTGTGACTCGCTCACAGGTGAATAAAGGTGGTTTCATAGATGTATATTATTTTTTATACTCAATGGGGTTCCATGAATTTCATTGATCTACTAATAGGGTTTCATTATTCTACATTCAAAAGTGTGGTGTTTATCATTGCTTAATCCTTGCTGGCAGTTCCACCGAGTTCTGAGTGAACTGGAGATGGGTGGACTGGTGAATGCCATGGAGTTTCAAATCCTCTACCGCAAGTTTGATGTGAGAGTTGGAGGAAGAAACGACGTCAACTACATCAGCTTCTGTCAGATGATAGATGACTATGCACAGACTCGCTGGACCGACCCTGCACTCAAGTGACTCGCAGTTTGTTGCAAAAACTCATTAGGACTCTGTGCTCATTAAGGTGTCACATGTCACATGCAATTGAAAGCCATCTTGTTGTATCGTATTGGTTTGTGGGGAGAAGAGGTAGCTATGTAGCAGTAAATGCATGCATCTTGCTCAGATACAGCAATTTAAGTATACGAAATACGGTCAAGCTATAAAACACGTTGCCAGAAATCTAGCTTGTTTTGCTGCGAGCACTCTCTAGCACCACCGTCTGTATAAAGAGAAAGAGGTGAGGGTGGGTGGGCAGTGTAACATTTGCTCGTCTCACTCATATAATCCAAACTAAACTTCGGGCCTTACTGATTATTTCCACCCTACTATATACGTGCGTATACCGTATTGCTTCTGCTATACAGTCAGCTCATCACAGCTTGGTAGCTAGGCTCTGCATCCTCAGAGTCTATAATTATACTAATGCATTAAAAAAAATGCAGTAGAGTGCCAAAGCCGGTCCTTGAAAACCACCATCATTCTCACAGGCGGTCAATGGAATATTTTTCATCAACAGTGGTACAACTCGACAGCCTTAGTGTCTATAATACCTTTACGTGAAAAAAAATATCTTGCTCGGAACTAGGCTAGCAAATTTCAACATTATTATGAAAAAACATAGCCTTACACATTCGCTGAGTATTTGGACAGTGCATAAAAGTCTTGGTAGTATATACAAGTCACAGCATTTCTATTAGACCAGTTCAGAGGGATTTGGATCACCCTGCTCCTGCACTGTGTTGCGTGGCTCTGGAAAGCGCCAGGCGAAGCGGCCCGTCACGAGCTCAGCTGACGCCAGGGGTCTCTGAGGAGCAGGCCCGGTTCTGCACAGATTTCCCTCACTGGCTGGTTGCAGTTGACCAGCACCGCTCCAGCGAGGCACAACCATCTCGGCTAGGCGCGGGTCTCCTTGTTCTTGGATTGCGCGACAATGCCGGTGTCTGCGCGGCCGTCGTCTCCGTCCCCGTCTCCGTCCCCGTCTCCTCACTGCAGGGAGCTGATGGATTGCAGACCGAGTTGTGTTGTGGCAAGTACAGAAACAGTGTTGTCCGAGCACTAGTAATTCTGCTGCAGCATTGTCGAGTTCGAGTAGAAGAGCTAACAACCCGAGGAAGCACTTCACAATCTGGATGAAGAGTTGGATAACAATGATCCAGATGGCGATTTCAATGGCAAGCATAACTGTGAGGGGTCTCTGAGGCTGCAATCGACTACTGTATCTGCTATATACAATTCGTTTGCGCGGATGACTAGCTAGTCGCTGGGGCCTTTGAAGAAATAAAGCACATTAGACACCGTCGCCTGCTGTTGAGAGCGAGCCGGTGAGGGGCGGGGGCGGCGAGCGGTTATAATGTGGGGAATACCCTTATACTTATAGTTCACACTCTCGCCAGCTGCACGCATGCGCGGAAGACGAAGTTAGCAAAGCGCTCATACGTACGTACTTGACTCAGTCCATCATGCTGAGTTTCAGTGTGTCTCTCCTGCTAGCCTGTCTTCTGGCTGTTTGTCCAGTCCAGCGGTCCTGGGGAGCCATTATTGAAGTGCCGAAGTTTCACGACAATCCCGTCAGCTTCGCCTTCGATCATCACCCCTCATCTAGCGCTGGAGCCGAGCCTTCTCCCCGGGTGAGCCGCACACTAACCTTTCGGGATCTATCAATGTGTTTTACTCGGGTCGTTGGTATTGTACGTTTGTCGTCAGGAGTGGAGAAGGCAGGCGGGTCAACAACCGCACATAGACGGGACGCATCAGTTCAACGACGGCTATCAGTACGGCACAATCTACTATGCTGGAGGCAGCAGTCAAGTAAGAGTATATACGGGAGTGAGAGAGGCAGAGAATCAAAATTAGTTCAGTGGCTACAACTATACCCAGAACCGGATCATGTTATGTTACCACAGATAATGAAATGTTTATTTGTAGGTGATTGTTGTGCTCAGTTATGATGAGGATAATGGAATATCATATCGCTCCAACCTGTACAGGTATATTTTAACTCTGCATGCAGCATGTATGTATGTATGTGCCTTCTTTCCACCCCATTACTGTTGATACTATGCCTGTCACATGACAATTATCCCACACATTGCATGAATACCTCATGCATATCTCAAATTAGTGTGAGCTTTAGTCCATGTAAAAACTAAAGGCAAATGTGGTACTGTATGTGTGAGCATAGATGTTTTTTTTATTCCTTACAGGTCAACTAACTATGGCAGTACCTTCACTAACATCAATGGACAAGTGGGCAGTGCCACTCTCTTTCAGTACTTCTACTGGAGTGGAGATACCGTAGGTCTATTTAGTGGCTGTCTTCATGCACATAGAGAATGAATCTATTCCCTGGGATTTAGGTGGCTGTGTGTGGATGTGGGTTGTTCTTGTGGTGTGTACTGTAGTAAAAGTGCAAGTACTCTGGCTGGTAGTAAACTTCACTGCTTGGTATCTGCTTGGTATTATACTGTGGGTGGACTTCCTACTATAGCATGTGGGTGTGTAGCACCACACTCAGTCTCCCTCTCCCTTGTTCCTCCGTCTCTTTTTCTCCCATCCTTCTCCCTCTCTTCCCCCTTCCTCTTTCCTCCCCTCTCTTTCCCTCTAAACACAGTTGATATTTGTCCATTCTACTGAGTCCAAACTATCCTACTCCAACGACCAAGGAGCAACATTTACTACAGTAGATCTCGACCCTCCGACCCTCGTTACTACAACTGTTGTCTACCATCCTACTAGAGATGGCTGGATGCTAATGAGAGATTCAACTAGAAACACAGTCAGTGGGGAAGATAGCCCTTAGTTTCATTTCTCGGTTTATAGTTACATACCACGTGGGTTTACTTTTAGTCTCCTGTTTTACACATGATCAAATGTGGTAAAATTCAGTTGCCAATTTGGTAATTTTACCAAAGGTTTGACAGTTCAGGCAGGCAGAGAACAGTAATGAGCAAATGCAATACTGTATTGTGGAGTTAGGGTTACTACGTTTGAGCCACATAAAAATGTGTTTTTTCTGCAGCTGTACTTGATAGAGGACTATGGCAAGATACTGAAAGAAGTCCAAGAAAACGTTCACTTCTACCAGTGGTAGGCATGTTAGATATCATATACTCATGTTTGGGGAATGCTTTATAATACATATAATGTTCCGTCATGTGTATTTTGGCTATGGTATGCACACATAACGTGTATATATACAATTATATCAACAAAAACTTTCCGTGTAGGGGTGATGCAGCCTGGGATGATGATGATAGGAGGGTCTATTTCACAACCATGGACCCTAATCCAAATTCTGACATTGAGGATGAAACAGTCAACCTCTTCGTATCTGACTACCCGTACACCGGGGGATCTAGCGAGTTTGATAAAAACCTCGGAGACCACGATGGGTTCTTGTTGGTCGGTCGCTACATATTTGCTCAGCGGACAGACGACGGGGTCATTGGTCTGCATGCGAGCGACAGACGCAAGCCGTTTAAGAGGGCCATGATACCAGTACCTGATGAACATCGCAAGTATGTTTCATCAGCCATAGCTAGTATAATTATGTGTACATGGTGTATGAATTAGCTTTTCCCCTAAAGGATGATATAATGTTAGCTAATTATATAGCCATCAGTAAGGCAATGGCAACTAAGTACCAATCCCTGTTCTACAAGTAGTACAGCAATTGCTATACATTTAGTACAACTACAATTTCAGCGATACGCTGTTCTGTGTACATGCCTCCTCCCTCCCTCCCTCCCTCCCTCCCTCTCCAGCTACCTAGTGATCCGTATCAACGACGTGCAAGCTCTAGTGATAGTGGAGCACGCGGGAGGTTTCTACAATCTCTACCTGTCAGATGAGTCCGGAGTCTACTACAGTCTCTCTCTACGAGACCTTGTCATTGACAGCGACTACAACATTGATCTGGAGCTGGTATTATGAACATTAAGCATCCCTACAATTATGTTATGATGTGTGAACTGTGGACTACACAATACCTTGTTCATCAGCTGTTTACTACCACCCACCTAAATAGTTATAGTGCCAGCCACAAAGAGGCCAATTGCTCACTCATGCAAGTGTTCATCAGCTGTTTAGCTATACACCTCCCAAAGTATAATTATAGCGACAACATAAATAGGCAAATTACTCACATGCCATCATTCCAAAATGCACTTCACGCAATTAAACTAGGCTCAAGTGGTTCTTTCTCTCTGCCCCCCTCATCAATTTGTAGATTGAGGGTCTCAATGGGACACTGGTAGCCAACCAGTACACGAGAGAAGACACGTCAGACCTGGCCTCTTCCATTAGAACGGTCATCTCACTGGACAATGGCGGATTCTGGGAGGGCGTGAGTGCATTTTGTTCATGACACAAAACTTTCGCAAATTTCAGAGAGCTTCTGAAACCCCGAAGTATATTATTTTCATGAATATATTCGTAATAGTGGCCATGCTGCCAACTGTGTTCGTAAAATTTTCGGAAAAAGTTACCTTACCAATCATCCGGTGTGCCCCTGCAGTTACTGCCTCCTGACGAGGACGTAAATGGCGACACAATAAACTGTGAGCCTCCAAACTGCTCCCTCCACCTCCACATGGACTCCACCAACTACGCCAGATTGGGAGTCTACTCCACCGAGTCTGCCCCTGGGATTATCGTGGCTCATGGTAGGGTGAAACCTATACAATACAGCTAAAGGAATTACAACACAAACATGTGTGCATGGAGATTGCTTAACAAAGCCTCAACTACTGCAGAGGATTCCTGGCTAGGTATATAGGCCTGTGGAACTTGGTTGTAAGGATAGTTTACAACCAAATTCCACTGACCAAGGTACTTATACTAACACACAGTGGGGTATTTATAGAGGAAATTTGTGATGTCCAATATGGTGGGATTTCCTAATTGCTTCACTGTAAATCTACACAAATCTTGGGTCAAGCTCCGTTTGTTTACACACACTTCCAGTAAGCATAGCCTGTCTATACAGTAGTACTTGTAGCAAGAGATGTACTTAGCACCATAGCATGTATCAGAATGATGGGTAGTTTCGTGATCTTCTCCTTCTTTCTATCCAGGTACCATTGGTATTGAACTGAGTATCAACCCAGATCTATTCATCTCTCGTGACGGCGGCGTTACGTGGGAGCAGACGCTCGCCAGGAGCTGGGGGGTTAACCTGGCAGATCACGGAGGGTTAATGGTGGCAGCCAAAGACTACCACCAGGAACCGTCCATGGTCCTCAAGTACAGCTGCAACGAGGGCTACAGCTGGAGGGATTTCACCTTCAGCTCTGTACGCAGACTCCACTGTATTACATATGAAGCAATACAGGGTTTGCACTTTAGTGCTTTTCATTATTGACAGTGCTGTATTGTTTTGTACAGCTGCAACGAGGGCTACAGCTGCAACGAGGGCTACAGCTGGAGGGATTTCACCTTCAGCTCCGTACGCAGACTCCACTGTATTACATTGGTTAATTGCTCTAATATGGGGGTTTTACTCTGTGCGCAGACTGCAGCATATGTTTAGGTGTATGCATATGAAGTCCTTGTTTCAGGATTTTGTGATCTAGAGCTAGACTACGGAATTAAAAAGCCTGCTAACGTTTTGTGTGGTACGATTCTTTTTGCTTTTTTCCGTTGCAGATGTGTTGCGTATTAGTAACGTATTATTATGGAAGTAAACAATGGGGTGTATAGGAGAATGCTAGCCATGCAAATATCAGTGGGTGCAGGGCAAGAGGGTATGAACTTGCAGTTTACCCAAGTTCCTCCTGTTGCAAGCCCATTGGGGAATCATTCATTTCTACACGCTCATATCAACACAATCATTGGTGGGATGCTTTTGGTTTACGATTTAGTGCAACGTTAAACCAACTACAGCATTAACACCACGTTAGACAGCTCATCCTCTTGTTGATGGGGTTGCCAGGATCATACATAGATGTCGAAAGTATCTTCGTTCTGAGTGCTGGAACATTTCCGATTTTATTTTGGTGCTCACAAGCAAGCATAATAATATGACCAATCATCACTCCTAAAGAAAAGAAAGCTCCATCTGCAGTATAAGCCTCAAAAACTCAATATCGGTGAAAAATGACTTATAAGGGCCCTTTTCTCAGATCAGGTCACAACTTTATGATGTGTATTCCGTCCCTCCCCAGACTGATATCACGATCTATGGTGTGGTCACAGAGCCAGGCCAGCACACTACCATCATGAGTTTCTACGGAGGCTCGTTGGACAATTTCAAATGGACCATCATTACCGTGGATTTTACTAACATCTTCTCCCGCCAGTGTGACGACCAAGACTACTATGACTGGAGACCTTGGGACGAGGTAAATGCCAAATTATTGTCCCCGCAGAGCATGTGTATTCTGGGGAGCTCAGTTTTGATTGTGCTCCCATTCATGGCAAAGCATCCCTCTACACATTCCTACTATATAGTCCAAACAAACTGTATTGTTTGTCACTGCAGAGGTGGCCAGATAGTAAGTAGTTCTCTGCACATTCCTGCCAGTCCAACCTTTTGTTTTATGTGTCACTGCAGAGAACAGAGAGTCAGTGTCTTTTGGGGAGCTCCATCACGATCGAGAGACGAAAGCCTCAGATCTGTTGTCTCAACGGACGAGACTACGACCGGGAGTTTGACTACCGCATCTGTGACTGTGCCAGTGAGGACTACGAGTGGTGAGTAGCTGTGCTTACTACGAACTTACGTATTGTCTGTTTGAAGCACACAGCCACTAACATGAGAGAATGAGAGAGAGAGAGCTTATCATATATTTTACATTTGCCATTATTCATATATCAGTGTATAATTATATTTGCCATTATTCATAATCTCTCTCTCATGCTTGTGGCTGTGTTCGGCCCTCAATGGGATTGCATGGGTACTATCATGTACAATACTCAAATTATACGTAGCTTTCTTGACAGAATATCAATGCTTCACGACTAAAAATGTGTCATGATAATTACTTGTGCGACGGGGCCACCTGCACCGCCGTTGCCGGGATATCGCCGTCGTTGTTGTGAACTCTTGACCCCGACACCTCCGCCCCCTGCCGAACGTTCCCCTTGTCCGCCTCCATCTTTGGTTTGCTCTTTGGTAGCGGGAGCCCGTGAGGCACCATTGTCGACTTCCTGTGCTCTTTCTCTGCGACCGGAACGCACTCGGTAAACCCCGCGGAATCTTCTAGAAGTTTTGCTTCCATTGCGATTCGGCCGGATGTCGAAGAGGAATCCTTTTCCCCGGACATGACGAGGCGACACAGCTGACTGCCGCCGGGCGGCTGGAAGGTGATGCTTTTAACGCTGGGCTGGTTGAGGATAATCATCTCCATGTAACAACTCTTGTGTTTCTGCTCCATGTGACGTCGGCTGGTGACGTCCTGGTCTCCTTCGGCTGCTTTGGCTTTCTCGATCCCAGCTGGACCATGTGAATGGGGTGTATAGGCTCAAAGACTACCTCTGTTGCGAGGGTTTTTTCGACGCAGTCACACGCTATGAGCGATGCATATGCTGGGTCTGTAGCGTCAGATCTTATATCGATGGCTCACCTTTCACTCCACATACATATTTGAGTATGTTTTCCCTCCACTCTCTCACATACATACCACTAACCTTTTTTTACTATGACTAGTTAGAACTCTCATTGATTTCTTACCTATTGTGGTGTTTAAAGCAGTGTTTGATCTGAAAATAAACTGTCAATATTGACTTTTGAACCTCGTTGAGTACTTGATAGTCTGTCCTGCGATTGTGCATGACATGAGTGCTTGTCATGTAACCAAACCATTCATGGCACCAGCATCATTTTGGAATGACAGCTCTTGGACTTATAATTACACAGAGAATTTTACCACATCAACATTACACTATTTATGACAAAATTAATGTTCTTTAGCCGTGGGGTCAACAAAAATGTTCACATGAGGTACAAAATCATTGAGGCCTCATCATTAATTGACCAGTTGAGCAGGGTTTGGGTCTCCTTGCTCTTGCATTGTATTACGAGGCTCTGGAAACACCCAGTTGCAGAGTCCCACCACGATCTGGGCTCGGTTAGGACCGCGCTGCTCCTGCACCGCTCTGCATGTGCAGCAGCCGACATCGGCCTGGGCTCGGTTGCTTCCCTGCTCCTGCTCCGCGTTGTATGTGCAGCCGTCGACTTGCTCCTGCACAAGGTTGCTGGGAGAGCGGCCGTCCATCGCCTCTGCGGGGCTCGGCTCGATCTGCTCGCGGGCTGGGATCGGTCGACAGATGGGAGGCAGGCTCGAGCGTTGCACCACCATCTCAGCTGGGCTCGGATCGCCTTCTTCTTGCATCGCACGCGGCCTCCGTCGTTGCGGCCAGAGCCGACGACATCCAGCAAGCTGCAAAATGAAAGTCGGTTGCCTCCGCAGTCTGCGTACTCTCCATCGCCGCCTCAACCGGGCCGGGGGCTGAAGACGGTTTGCGTTGCAACAACTGGCAAACGCCCTGTGTCCCATTCGCTCAGGATCCTGCGCGGGAAGCAGCAACGGCAGAAAGATGATGAGGACGATTGAACAGCGCATTGGAGTTGCAGTGCTGGATCAGGAGCAAGAAATTTCTACAGGCTACTATTGCATACACGACCAGACCTTGGTACTAACTGAAAAACTCCCCGCTTTTATAGCGCACTGGAATAACCAGGTGGTATCGCGTATATATAATACCCGCGCGCGTGGGTGCCGGGGTGGTTTGCCAAAGCGCATGATGCCCACCACAGCACCAGCAAGCCTCAACTATACAAAGCACTGTGCTACCTAGTGTATACTTATATTTTGCACTTCTGTTAACCACTATGCTACAAAACTCTACAATAATTTCTCTACTAGCTAAATGGTCAACAAACATACTCCAACAAATTGCATGCATACATGTATACAGGGTTGTTACAAAGTTTCAGTCACTACAAAGTTCTTTAGCACAATGGTGAACGGAGGAGACAGCTTCTCTGCTGGCCTCCCTCCTCCACCTACAGCCATGAAGTGAAATGTTCAAAGTTGAATTATATCCAAGGAAATGCACAAGGAAATGTTCTTAGTCAAATAACATTCCTCAATGGCTACATAAACAAACCTGGGGTAAACAAGGACCAAGGATAGCGACTAGAGTTAGCACAGGTAGGGTTCCTCCATATGCACAACATGGGGGAGATTTGGATGCAATGTCCCTGCTAAAAGTGCTCTGAATAATGGACACGTTGAGACTAGACAGTTTCTAGCTCCCTTTATTATGGTGGGTTTATCTCTTCAGAGGTTAATAATGAAAAGTGAACGTCTGGGACATCAAAACATGTCCTTTATTTAGAGGTATTGTGTCCTTAATTCAGAGTGTCATTATCAGAGGTTCCACTGTATATCAAGCCTAGTTAGGTAGCAACGTGGATCTCATTAGTTCAGAACCACAAGTATACTGGTAGTCTCAGATGATGCCCTGGATACAGATAGGGTGGTGTGTTTCTAGCTAACACATCCTCAGGCTACACTCTTTTTTTTCAGCACTATTTGTATGTCTTTATAGGTTTGACATGTCCCTGTCACAGGCCCCCTGCAGCGGTTGGCTCATCTGCTACCCCCGGGGCTTGTGTAGTCGCTATGCGATCCTGAAACACACAGGTCAACGTCCTCTGAAGAATTCATCTCTGACATTGAGCAAGGTGGGCATCGAAACCCTGTATATTACTATGTAGCATGTGGGGTTTGCATACTACACATGCCCACAGATGAAGTCCCTTACCACCTCATCCAGAGCAGTAGACTTTTCTACCACCATAGGTAAGCTTACACACACTACTGTATGCAACTTGCACTTGTGTGTGTGTATTGTGTAGGAGAAGGTGAGGTGAGGTATTGGAGAAGGCACTACACAGGATGCAGCGAGAGAGTCCCAACAGAGGAGGTGCTCACCAAACCTTGCTTCCAACTTCCAGGACTTTGACAAGTCTGTGACATTAATTGTATATATACTCCCCAATTATGATTTGATATTATGTGTCCATGTAGGCACCCACAATGGATATTGTGACATGCAGTCAGTTTAGACAGTGTCTTTCCTATCTTGGACTGACTGGCAGTGACTCAGGAGATACAACATATGGATTAAAGAGGTGGGACTAACGCATGTGTTATAAACACATCTAGATGTTTTCAATGTGATGAATCCCATGGTGCTCCGTCACCCACGCACGTTATAAGGGTTCCCAGATGTTTTTATTAGCGCTAGACGCACGCTACTCACCTATCGTATGGTGACAGTAAGGGGTAAACTACCTCATCTTGAGTTCCTTCTACAGCCGACAGAGAGACTGGTACAGACAGTACACCAGACCAGACTGGCCCGCTCGCTACCGACACACCTAGTGAATACGATCCACGTTGGCATACACAGAGTGCCGAGTTTTATGTTAACTGCATCGCTGCAATTTTCTGTTTCTGTTGTGCTAATGCTCTTTTGCACTATCTTCACCTAGACAACATCTGGTGCTGCTGTTGTATGTGAGGTCGATGCTGAATCTGTCCTGGAAAAAATCAAGACATCAGTAAATCAAACAGTACAATAGGAAACAATGACACGTTATCGAAACCCATTTATATGAACCATAATTATTCCATGAGCTCATAAGATTTCTGCTCCATTTTGCCAGCTATGAAGAACTGGGGCGTGTGCTAGTGGAGTTCATGAGGGACTATGACAAACTCTCGCTCGCGTCGTATCCTGCACCTCCTTCCAACCCGCGAGCTCTGGCCTTGTTGCGCTTCAGTCGTCGCGGACATGAAGAAGTGCTGCCCTCGAGTAAATGTCTGTTACACATGTGGGCACGAGCTGCTCTATAACACATTTGGTCACACATCTGCAGGTGTACGCTGCAGAGAGGATTATCATCACAAACTGTTTGCTCACTGTTTCAGGTATCATCACCAAGACCCTAGCCAAGTGGAGTACATGTGGCGTTCTCTAGACGAGATTAGTCGGTCTTCACCAGCGAACGGACTGAGAAGACAGCCCTGCAGAGGTGTTCAGTGTGCGGCGGTCGGGGTCACACATGTATGTCCATGAGTCAGAGGACGAGCAGACACTGCAGACGACCATGCACCGACTGGCAGCAGAGGGTATGAGGAACTATACATACCACATACAGATGGACATGACCAGTGCTTCATTGAGTCTATTGTTCCTCGAGGCCATGGCAGTCTTTGCACATTAGCTTAGTGAGCTTGTTTGAAGAGTGTAACTGATGAACAAGGCCCCTGAGTGTTGTACATTATGGTCCACACAATGTTACACACAACCGTGTAGTTTGCAATGTTGTCTACCAAACTGCAGGTACGGGTACGTCGTATTCAGATATTCCCTCTCTTTGAAGACTACGATAGAGTCCACATTGTGCAGTGTGACTCGCTCACAGGTGAATAAAGGTTTCATTGATCTACATGATAGGTTTCATTGAGTCAAAAGTCATTGTCGACACCAATGGTGTTTATGATTGTCTAACCTCTGCACTTGTTGCTGGCAGTTCCACCGAGTTCTGAGTGAGCTGGAGATGGGTGGACTGGTGAATGCCATGGAGTTTCAAATCCTCTACCCGCAAGTTTGGATGTGAGAGTTGGAGGAAGAAACGACGTCAACTACATCAGCTTCTGTCAGATGAGTGATGACTATGCACAACCTCGTGGAAACGACCCTAGCACTCAAGTGAACTCGCAGTTTGTTTGCAAAAACTCATTGGACTCTGTCTCATTAAGGTGTCCACATGTCACATGCAATTGACAGCCATCTTGTTGTATCGTATTGGTTTGCGGGGAAAAAAGAGTAGGCTATGGGGCAGTAAATACATCTGCTTCGCATGTACTGATTATTTTCCCCCCTACATGCTTATACCTTATTGCTGCTGCTATACGTTCAGCAGCTCTTCACAGGTTGTTAGCTGGCTGTCTTTTTAGTTTGTTGGCATCCTCCTCAGAGGTCCTATATTATAAACTGGAGTGTCCAACCCGCTGCGCATTGTGAACGCCTCGCATACATGCGCGCGTCATCAACGCATGCCCGTCCCACCTTTAATTGATGGGCTTGTGTTAGTTTTAGCTTGTTTACAACTCGGTGGTCTCTTGCCCAGCTCGCGCAGAGTCTGACGCGGGCTAACTGCACTACTAGATAGCATGCGAGAGGCGATACACGCCCGCGTTGCATCTTCTGGTGGCCCGAGGTACGCAGAGCACGCGAAATCATCAGGCCATCCCGTCTGTTGTGTATTTGGATATTGGCTTTTTCGCGCTGTACTCTGCAACGGAGCAGTTTCAAGAAACCCCACATGACTTCGCCGCCCGTTGGGTAGATGGTATCGTTTCTCTGGGAGACAGACATTCTAGAGTGAGATGTAGAGTAACAGACAGACACAACCGAAGATCCAGGCACGGCCGTCCTGTTTGCGAACACAATTCTAAGCGCCCGGATTTCAGGAAGGAACAAACCCAACTACGTACCCTCGCTGCGCATGCGCGCCGAGGGGATAATGCAACTCGACAGCCTCAATGTATGTCTATAATACCTTTACGTGGAAAACATATCTTGCTGGGAACTAGGCTAGCGAGAGGTCACACATTATATTATAGCAAATAGACCTTACACATTCGCTGAGTAAGTTTGGATTTTGACCGTGCATAAAGTCTTGTACTTCAGCAGCATTTCTTTTAGACCAGTATGCAGAGGGATTTGGATCTCCCTGCTCGCGTGCACTGTGTTGCGTGGCTCTGGAAAGCGGCAGGCGAAGCGGCCCGTCACGAGCTCAGCTGATCGACCGAGGGTCCCGGAGGAGCAGGCCCGGTTCTGCGACACGATTTCTCACTGGCTGGTTGCACGTGATTAGACCCAAGTCAGCACCGCTCCAGCGAGGCACAGCCATCTCGGCTAGGCGCGTGGAGAGTCTCCCTTGTGTTCTCGGTGCATGCGCGACGTTCATGCGCGTGCTCTGTCGCGTCGTCGTCTCGTCCACGTCTCCTCAGCTGCTGCGGAGCTGAGTGAGTTGCAGACCGAGTCGTGTTGTCGCAAGTACACAGGAACAGTGTTGTCCGAGCAGCTAGTAATTTCTGCTGCAAGCATTGTCGAGTTCGCGTAGCCCAGAGCTCAACACGCCGAGGATAGCACTTCACAATCTGGATGAAGAGTTGGATAAAAATGATCCAGATGGCGATTTCAATGGCAAGCATAACTGTGAGGGGTCTCTGAGGCTGCAATCGACTACTACAATCCGTGTGCGCCCGGTACGGTATATATGGAGCACCACCTGCTGGCCGCCGATTATTCCTAT